GGCCACAGCACCGATCCAAGAAATCCGGCGGACCTCTGGACATTTGTATGTTTATATATATATATATATACTTGTCCTTCTATGGTGGCAGGAGTAGATGCGTCCGGTAAATCTGTCAACGTTTGGGGCCCAGGGTTTTCAAAACGGGCCATCTACCACAGGCGCCCTTGGCACCCTTCGGGAGATGCCGGCAGGGCCAGCCGTGGCTTCTTGGGTGGGGCGCGCCTGCTGTGCCTTTCTTTGGGGAGCCTGCGTGGGCAAGTGGGTGCCGTGGAGCAGTCGGAGCGCTCTCTCGGGATGTCCACCCTTGCCTGCGAGCTCCAGGGGGGGGAGGGCGGGCGAGCTCCAGTGCCAAGGGGTACGGCAGGAGGTTCGGTTCCGCAGGGCGTTGTTGGCCGCCTGGCGCCTGCGGCAGCTGCTGGTCAAGAGTTTGTTTTGAGCGACGCTCGGTGTTGCGCCAGGGCGGGCGGCACTCGCGCGAACTTTGACTCGAGGCCCTTCAGCGCACAGGCGAGTGCGTCTTACAGCTAGTCGCGCCATGGCCAGCGAGAGACACAACTTCCTGGTGAACCATTCCTGTCGCATCCTTCGAATATGCTCATGCTCACATCACGGAGGGGCTCACCATCGTGTTCCGGGGGATTGCGAGCTAGAGGCGCTCAATCGCATACATACACGCTCGATAAATTCCGAATGCCTCCAAAAACGGTCCTCGGCCTCCTCTCAGCCCATGGTTTGTACGACCTGCGCGACCTCTCTATCATCTTCCTTCTTCCCCGTCTCGGCCGCATCTCCTCTTGGGGCTTCGAGCGCCGCTGCAGAGTAACATTATCTTGCAGCCGATATCGGGCCCGCAACATCATGTGAGCGACGTCGGAAAATTGGTTCGTCTTCACCGGCATCGGCGCGTAAGCCCCCCGCGTGAGGTCGCGCGTGAGCGCCCTCGCTTCAGTGTGGCGTTCCGCGCTGGCGGCTGGCGGTACGCGTAAGCCGCCGAGTGGGGTGGTTGTGCCATCTCTCAGAGCGTGAATTACCTACCCCGCTTTCGCTTCCATGCAAAACCAAGCCATACCACGCGCCTCCTCGTCAAGCGGCCTGACCAGTACAGGCTGCAATTTGGCATCGTTTGGTATCTCTTGGAAGCGAGGGTGGTCAAAAGCGAGGTAGGTTTGTTTTCTCCCTAATCTCGCGTAAGACCCGCTTGCTCTCGTCGCTCACTTGGCACCGCGAGCTGCCGCAACGAGACCACGAGCCCCGTCTGCGCGCCGACTCCCACTGGGAGGACGGTTGCTCCCCTGCTCGGCTGCTGGACGTCAGAGTCCGAGCCCGCGGGCTCCCCGGTGCGGCCCGGCGAGGCGCAGGCAGCGCCAGCTTGGCGCCGTGCGATTGCCTTACCAAGCCTTGCAGTACCACCGCCTCCTCCTCCTCCTCCTCCTCCTCCTCCTCCTCCTCCTCCTCCTCCCCCTCCTCCTCCCCCTCCTCCTCCTGTTCTACGTGGCGAGTTTTTGCTCGAGCTGCCTTTTCCTCGTGGCAGAGCACGGAGGCCCCTGGCCCAGGGCCAGCATCGGACCATTTTTCCCCGCCTTCTGCGCGCCCGGGGGTTGAGCTCCCTGTCCTTCTCTACTACCGCATTCGCCTGCGGTTGGCATTCATACCATACGCAGTGGTGCACCCATGCAGGGACACTCTTGAAGGAGTGACAGCGCGCCTCCATCCCCCAAGGACCCTCCTGCAAGTGGACGTTCCAGTGGCCGTGAACGCTCTCCTGGAAAAAAATCCACGGCACGACGCTGCCAAACACGACACCTAGAAGGAAGCCAGGCAATAGCTGGAAGCTCCATTCCAAGCCCTATTTGCAAACTCAGCTCCAGGGCTTGAGACTACGACTGAGCGCGTCACTGCCGACGCGCAGCGGAAGTTCACAGGAGCACTCAAAGGCGTCACAGACTCGTTTTCCAGGCGCCAGGAGAACAGCGAACACGAGCTCCGCGCCATCAGGCAGCGTATGGGATCCCCTGAACGCTTCGGAGATGAAGTTCGCCAGGGTGTCAATCTACAATCAGCTACTGCACACCTATAAGCTCACGCACGAGCGCTCGACTTGGAGAACATCGGCGCGTGGAGCGGGAGGCCTAGCATTGGAACGTTCGGGTGTGGCTCACCAGTGGAGATCGGCACATCGGAACATGAATTTTCTTTCTCGTCCTTGGCTCGAGGCCGATGGCGTCAACCCGAACACAGTGCAGTTCAACAACACAGCCGCCAGCAAGCGGGTCTACATCACGCTTCCCACGAGGGCAAGCTCTCCACAAACATCCCCGCATCGGACGAGAATGGCGCACCTTCGAGGTCGAATCTGACGGGATGCGCTCCCCGTTCTGCGTCTTCGCGGGCAAGTCCCTCAATATAGTATGATAAGTCGTTCAGTTTGATAAGTTCAGCGAGTTCATCACCAAAAAGCCTCGCTTGATAGAACCTCTTGTTCATCTCCTGGAGGGCTACATCTTGTCCAAGGGAGGCGCGTTCGTCCGCAGATTCGTCGGTGATTCTCCAGAGCAGCCGACAACAGTCCAGTGGTCATACGCGGCTGATTGACTGGGGCTGTCCAATGCCATCAAGCATGATATGAACAAATTGCCAGCTCCTTCGCGGACCAACTCAAGACAGCATCGTGGATTTAGCAGCAAATTGGCACCACGGGGCAGTCGCCACTCTGACGGCGCCAGCATCGTCTCCCGGAACACGCAGGCCATCCTCGATAAGTCCTTCAGCCGCTGCAGCATCACGCGCCGCATGCTGCCCCCATGCTTAGCCAGGAGGCTCTGACCGCGCTGCAAGAAACGCACGGCACCCACGCGGAGCTCACCGGCTTCGACAGGCCAACCGAGCGCGGCTATTTCGCGGACCACAGCGGCACCCCCGACAACGACTCCTCTGGCGGGGTCGGCTTCCTCGCCCCCACTGACAAGAAGCTCGCGCGCGATCCGCGCAGTGCCAAGCCCACCATCCAGTTTCAACCTGTGGTGGATGGTCCCAATCGCACGTATCTCGATCACGGGCACCGCAGGTACCTGTGCCGCTAATGTCTTCGACGTCCACAACCACGTTCCCACGCATGAGAGCCGCTCTCCTTTCCAACAACGGCGGGGGCAAGCTCCCCAGCTGGCTGCAAGTTCTACGGTCACTACCGCAAGAAGCTCGCCGACTTTCTCGGACACCGAGCCCCTCGAACCCGCCGCCAGTTGGCGGGCGACCAAGAGTGGCATTGTCGCCGCCGCCACCAACGCGCGCGTTGCCACGCCGAAGATCCCCCCGCAAGCCTTCGCGTCGGAGCACGCCGCCGCTTCGAAGGAAGTGACCTCCATGACGATGAACAGCGTCGCCAGGGCCTTTACGGCGACGGGATCTCGGCTTCGCGCGGCGCCCGATCCAGGGCACCACGCTGGGCCAAATCTAGCTGCAGGGAGTGAGTGCCCACGTGGGCCCCATCGCCTCCGCGAATGCCGTGCTGAAGTATGCCGACGCATTCGCCGCCCCCGCGGCCGCCGCTCACGCTGCCGTCGTCGATGAGCGACGCTAGCGGGCGGCCGTGCTCCCTCGAGAAGCCGGCCGACGCCGTCGACGTCAAGCTGAGGACCGTTGGCGCCGGCGTGCCAGCGCAGAGCGTCGGCGCGGCGAACCGTAGAAGCCGCTCGCGAATCTACAGGCGCCAACAGGAACGCGCATGTCAACAGGGGGGCCAGCGCCGCGCGGTCAGGGACCCCATGGCTATGCACATGGCTATCCAAGCTTCCTGGGCTTCCTCCTTCAAGGCCAAGACGGTCGACTTAACAGAGGCCCACAAGGACCTCGACCATGTTTGCCCTCAGTTTCCACCCCTCTCTCTCTCTCTCTCTCCGGGCCTGCCCCTTCGGAAGCAGGCCAATCCGTAACCCCCTCTGTGGTCGTGGCCTCGTCGTCGTCGTCGTCGTCGTCGTCGTCGTCGTCGTCGTCGTCGTCATCCGAATCTTGTGGGCCTGCGCGGGCTATCCCTGCGCAGAAGCCGCTTCTGGTACTTCCTGTCGTGGCGTGGCAGCGCGACGGCAGCTGGGCCGGGTCAGCAGAGGCTCGTTTCCCACTCCTTCTGGGTCAGGGGCTGCGACCCGCAGGCCAGAGGGAGTCTTGAGAGACATGCACTGGGGGCTCCTTCTGCTGATGCGTAGCCCTTGGTCCTTAGAGTCAAGGCGCATGGTAAGGTTTGGTGACACTCCCCAGGGTACCCTTTGCATCCTTGCCGATTCGGCCTATTCTTCAGCAACGCATAGGTCAAAGAATTGTAATTAAAACGTCCAAGGGGCTGGCACCCTTACCGGCCTTTTGTTGGCGTCGTCTGTAGTCCTTTGCCCTCCATCCCTCCGAACCCGTGGACCGAGGCGACGACAAGCCTCCCGGAGGAACGAGAGGAGGCGAACACGCACGCACTCCTCGATGTTTTCACGGCGCGCTGCCCTGTCCCCAGCCCTCATGCCGGCGCCTCGCTCGCTCGTGGCCCCCTCTGTGCTGCTCCCTTTATCCCTTAGGATCTGCCCCTTCGGAGGTACGCCAGTCCTCAACCCCAAATCCAACCCGCCCGTCAGGGCCCGACAGGTGTCACAATCGATCCATCTGGCTCTTGCCGACCTGACGAGTGCATGGACACCTGGAGCATGGGTTGCACACGAAAGAGCCGAAATGCCGCAAGCCGCAAGAGGAGATAGTGGGGCTGTTGGGCAGGAAGCAGCAGCAGCAGCAGCAGCAGCAGCAGCAGCAGCAGCAGCAGCAGCACCGTCCAGATGTTTGTCTCAGGTTTATGTTTGCAGTGCGCACGCGGCGCGGGCAAGCGCGCGGCAGGCATACGTCCCGACCCCCGCCACAGGTGTGACGCCGTGGCGGCGCCTCCATGCACACTACGGTCCGGGACATCAAAGTGTGTAGTTCGCTTGGATCCCCTCTCGCTCCATTTGCGTAGGGCTGCTGGGCAGGAAGCAGGGCGGCACCCGCCGGAAACTGGAGCGGTCCTCTGGGGCGATCATCCAGTACGTCGGCGGGGAGGGGAGGGGGGCCTCCCCTGGAGGTGGCCCGCGGCGGGCGCGGCGAGGTCTGGGCAGAGCTGCTGCAAGAGGGGCCCGCCACGAAGCCAGCGGGGCCTGAGGAATCGGGTCCCGGAGGGGAGATTTTTGTCACCCTCAGGGCCGCGGCGCGCGTCGTGTCCCCCCCCCACTCCCCCCCCCCCTTCTCCTCCTCCTCCTCCCTCCTCCTCCTCCTCCTCCTCCTCCTCCTCCTCCTCCTCCTCCTCCTCCTCAATGCGCCCCCTTTCCCTCGATGCGCCCCCGCGGGTGCGCCCTGTCCTGTGGTGCTGGACCGCAACGGCGGGGGAGGAGGGGGGGGGGGGGGGGGGGGCGTTACGGTATGCCCTCCCCCGCCGCCCCCCTCCCCCCCGAACGCTCGCTGGTCGCCGCGAATGGACACGTGCTCCCGAGGTTTTTCGCTAATTTCGGGATGGGGGCCTTCCACGGGCTCCAGGATGGTCAAGAAACGACTCGGGACGAAGGGCTGGCCTGGGGGAAGCCCCTCTGTCAAGGACCCGTTTGCCCTTCCTGCTCGGGGCTGGGGCAGGCCACGCCAGGATCGACGCACCAGGCACCTCAAAGCTTCCAGATCGGCGTGTTCCATGAGCACGCGAATGTGTGCATGTGGGCGCGTGCATGTGTATGCCTATGTGGGTGTTCATGCGCCGGGGGTTAGGGCCGTGGAACTGTCTCAGCGTGTCGCGCTGCCGGTCCCGGCCCACCACGCTCCGGCGCAACACGGTAATCACGTCCCAGTCCCCGAATGAGACGTCCCGAGCCCCTCCCATCGGACGGGGCCAGGACGACGATAAATCCGTTCTAGAGCGTTCCGGATCGCTCTGAGAAGGTCGCGGCGCCCGAGACATCCTCCAGAGCCGCCAGGTCTCAGAGGTTCCGAATTTATCCTCTTCCGAATTTTATCCTCGTCCTGGCTTCGTCGACTTCAAAGCGGAGCGACCTTCTATCTGCTTGGAGGCCACAGCGCGTTGCTAAGACGGGGCCGCCGCCGCGGCACAATAAGCTCCTGATGCCGTAGGGGGGCTAGAGAACGAGGGGGCCCCCACCAGGATGGTGTCGTTTTGCGGGCGAGGACGAGCTTCGCGAGGGCGGCAATGGACTGGCGCAGCCGGGGCCAGGTCTCGGAGGAGGAAGAGGTATCCATACCGCTCTTTTTCGCCTGTTTTCCATTCTTTGGGTCTCCTGGGAGGCCCTCGTCGCCACCGCTGGATCCGCGCCGAAATGTTGGTCAGAACGCACCCCAAGAGAGGTTCGGGGAGTAGCGGTATTAGTACCTTTTGGTTTCCCCGAAGGTCGTACAACAAGTGTCTCCTCGCCATGGGTGTTCCGTGGTTGTCAAGTGGTTGTCCAGCGGTTGTTCCGCGGTTGTCCCGTGGTCGGTCCCGTGGTTGGTCCATTGGTCGTCCCATGTGATCTTTATCCACAGGTTGTCCCGCGGTTGTCCCGTGGGCTGTCCCGCGGATGCCCCGTGGTTGTCTTGTGGGTTGTCCCGTGGTTGTCCTGTAGGTTGTCCCGAGGTTTGTCCCGTGAGATGTCCCGTGGTTTGTCCCGTGGGATGTCCCGTGGTTTGTCCCTTGGGATGTCCCGTGGTTGTCCCGTGGGTTGTGCCGTCGATGTCGTTTGGGTTGCTGCGTGTTTTTTTTCCGCGAATTGTCCCGTGGCTGTCGCGCGGGAAATGTTGTCCGAAATGTAAATCAAGTTGCAAACGATATGAACATCAAAATACACCGACATGCAAGTCTAAGTGCACATCGAGTCGCACATACATGTCTACATCATTCTGCCGATCTAAATGCAGTTTTATGTTTAACATGAAAGTCAAGGCGAATATTGAATAACAGGTCAATCAATATGAACGTCGACACACGCACACCGAACGCTAATAGACTTGCAATCGACATCTAAATCGTGATGAACATCCACTTGCAGTCGACATCCAAATCGGCATGCACATCAAAGAAAGATCGGCATGCGCATTTCTGCCCACGTCCAAACACAAGCCGGAATGCACATCGGAATGCAGATCATTTTGACATCGAAATGCGATACCCTCCCCCCGAACACATGCGAATCACCCGAAGGGTGGCCTTTCCTACAAGGTACGTGTACGCGCGTGCGCATAAGTGTGGTTGACTACTTAAGTGTATGAGTATGTTTGCGTGTATGCTGCATTGAGTGTGCAAGGAAGGGTGTTTACGGGCATATTCGATGTTCGATGTTATTGAGATTATTGCGGATGCTGGGCGCCAACATGCGTTTCAGAACATATCACCGAATGTGCCTCCAAATCGTAGCATGTGTTGCCCTTGGTTTGTATGCATGCCTTCATTTGCTTGATTGTCCGTCTGCGACCGCCACGTATTCCAACACGCTCGGTCCTGCGCAATGCCAGCACGGGAGAGCTCATCGCTTCGAGGAGTCCTGACTACGTCATGCGCGCGCGATATGGGACCGTCGATCCAGAGAGGACAGACCCGACTCGGCCTCTGGAGGTCTTCGCGTGGAGATCTGGAGCCACGACAGCCCAGACGCGGAAGCAAGGACTGCCTTGGACTCAGGGCGGAGCCTGCTCGTGGCCGAGGCTCGCCGCAGCCCGAGAGGCTCCTGCGATCCTCGTGTGGCGCTCCGTGTGGGGGCGCGGCGACGGGGGTCTCCCATCTCCCGGTGCGGAGGGGCCCCCCCTTAGGGCGACCGAATCTATACATATCCACTGCTCCCTGGCCAGGCACACCGTGAACCCAGCAGCAGTGTATACGCCAGACCCTCCTGGCTGGGCCAGGAGGGCGTATACACAGCTCCTGGGTTCAGAGTGGGCCTGGCCAGGGAGCAGTGGATATGTATAGATTTCGTCGCCCGATGGCCAGCTGCCTGCCGAGGTAACAACCCCGCAGTCGTGCTGGGTTTTGCGGGCTCCTCCGCCCCCTCCAGGGAGGCGAGGCAGCCCCGAGCCCAAGGAGTGGCCCTCACTGGACGGCCCCAGGCGTTTGCCACACGGCCCTGTCTTCCCTGAGTGCGTTTCCTGGGCAGTTTCGCCTGTCGGGGTGCATGTCATGAGGGTGCTCGTTCTGCGCATCCTGGCTCAGCAAGGAAAAACGCAGTCACAAACCATCGTCGTTTCCCAGGAGCAAAAACATAGAACACCTGGGGCGTGGAGGGGAGCGCCCAGACAATGTGGAAAATGTTGGGAGTCCTTGGGTTTGAGTCTATGTACTTGTGTGTGTCCATGGGTCCCTTCACTGGTCCCGGGCCCCGCGGGAGCGGGGCAGGCAGTGCGGAGGACGGCAGAGCGAGGCCCGGCAACGAGGAGCAAAGCGAAGCGAACGCCGGAGCCGTGCGCACCCCTCTTGGGGAGGCTGCCCGTGTCCATCGTCAGAAAAGGAAAGGGCACCCATACCGATACCATCGCCCCGTTTTCCCCTTTTGTGGGCCTCTTGGGAGGCCCCCCTCGCCACCGCTGGATTCGCCTCGAGATCCAGAGTAGCGGTATCGGTAAAATGTTGGGTTCCCCACATCAGGGCATGGCGCAGAGGCCGTGGCCTCAGAAGTGTGACATGTATTGAGATCTTCACTGGGGCTGCTAAGCGGATAGGGAGATTAGAAGTGGAATCTGAGGTGGGTTCAATTTGGCCTGACCTAGAATGTGGCTCAATCACTCCGCTAAGTGGGCTCCGTCCACTTAGACGAGGTCTGTTACCCCCAGAGGCCACGGGGGTCACTTGTAGCCCTGGTATGCGTCAGGTTCAGTCAGCTATATCCCATCTTAGCATTCGCTTCTAAGCCACCAATCCTCTTAGCACCCACAGCGGTGATGTCAGTAGGCGGACTCATTTCGTAGACACCATGAGGTGCTCCAGGCGACTGGGAACCGGTAACCATCGCAGGTCGTCCGAGCCGTTGTGTTCGTGTTGTCTTGGTCCAGTTGATTGGTTGCGAGGAGGGGGATGTCGGGAGGCATGGAGACTGTCTGCTCCGGCACGAAGGCGGAGCGAAACCGCGCCAGGGACTACATGAAGTGCCGGGAGGGTGCTTCTCACCACGTCCAGCCTGAAGCGCTCTTGCTCGTTCTTCGCCCTTCGGCAGAAAGGGGTGTGGGGTCCTTGAGAGAGCGGGTTCCGGAGGGAGGATTTTCGCGGGATTCGGGATTTCTTCTTGGGGCCCAGGACCGTCAGACTATTGCAGTCCAGCATCGGATTAGGAAACCTCCTCCCGAAAAGATGGGCCAGCGTTTCTTGGCAACCTCGCCAGGAAGCTGGCCCAGCTTCTTGAGCGTGTTCGCCCCTCCAGCGTGAACAGCTGGAATTGGCCCAGGCTTGTGATAAGAAGCCTCCGGGAAGCTGGCCCAGATTTCAGACATTATCATGTGTTTGATCAGATTGTTGGCTGTGTTCGGGATGGAAAGCCGAACCCAGAGGAAGCCGGGAAGCCCCGCGGTCCAGGACCCGTGTGCACACGGACCCTACACTCCCCAAGTCATGATTGTCGCAGTGTGCCGACTGGAGCACGATTGTCCCCCCCCCCTGGCAACTGGCAAGAAGCATACCCTCCCCTGACAGCATGTCATTCCACTGCAGGCCGCGCCCAGCTCAGCAGGTCGGAGGACGTGTCCAATGCGGGAGCAGGGGGGACGCAGGGCGGAATCGCGCTGTAGACTTAAGGCGTATCGGGCTGGATGCGCGCAGCCTTGGCCTCAAGACGCAACCATATGGACTTTGAGCAAACTATTACTTTCTGTGCGCAGTGCAATGACCGAGGTAATAGCCAAAGTCGCCCAATGTTGCGACGCGTTGCCAAATTAGCCAGATAGTATACCCTGCGTTTCTATAGGAGATGGCATCTAGCCGTTAGTGGAGAAGAGGACCATGTAGTAGTGATTGTCTGCGCACCGAGGCCGCAACCATTCGAGCTTCAATGGAGAGCGCAATTTCAATAGGGGCTCCAGTGCGGCAGCATCTTTGCGGCGCGGGGCGCTCGAAGTTCGGCCCCCAAGCTGCCGACCGGGAGGCGGTTGTCCATCCGTCTCGAGCGTGTTTGTGTCTCCAGCAGTACTTCGTCTTCGGCACCGCCTGATCCCGGGGCTTTGCCCCCTCCTGGCCTTGACGTGAGGCCCCTCCTTCTGCCCCCCCCTTTGGTAATTAAAGCTGTGCGCGGCCCGCTTAGCTTCGACCGGAAGAGGTGCGCTCTCGACCCGCGGATCAAAAAGTTTGTGCCTCCCAGCGGACAGGCGCTGTCTGAGGACCCCGAGCCGGTCTTTAAAGGCCCTTCGGGCAGCCTCCGAGTGATGTCGAGGGCGCGCTTGCCCCAGAGCGCCTCGCACGTATAGCCGCGCGTCTGTTCGGTTCCGAAGTTCTCGGGGGTGGACAGAACCCCCAACAGTGACACGTCGACGAGTGAATTGTCCGTTTCCGGTTCTCCAGAGGGCGCCGTGGCCGTTATTTTCCAGGCTTGCGCCCGCCAGGTTTGGGCCTCAGGTCGTTTTCACTAAACCACGTTTTACTAAAGGGGGGTCTGTCCATCCCCGAAATTCGACTTCCTTCGGTCGCGACCGAAATTTGGCGCGCCCGAAGGTAACCGAATGATGATTTTGGTCGTCGCCTCTGGGCCCAGCCGGGTTCAAAGAGCCTCGAGGAGACTCGAGGATCGCGGCGGATCGAGGATTGAGGATCAAGGAGGATCAAGGAGAACCGAGGAGGATCGAGGAGGATCGCGGATCGAGGATCGAGGAGGTTCGAGATTCGAGGGCTCGAGGAAGGGGAGGGGCTTTTGCTCTTCCCGCTTCAAGCAGCACGGCGGGTAAGTAACTCGGCCCCCGACGGCTGCGGTCTCGCTGCTCTCTGTGTTCGCTGCCCGCCGCCGTGGCTGGGCTCGTCGAGGGATGGCGCCCGGGAGGGGTCCCTCGCGGACGACTCTTCTCCCGAAGCGGTTTCTGATTTATCCTCTTGCGTTACATCGGCATGTCCCCCATACAGGAGAATTATCCAAACATATTTTAATAAAAAGTCCGGGGACGATTCGTAGGATTGTTCTTTCATTTATGTTTGAATAGTTGTGGGGTATGTTTAATCTTCGTCCAAAATCCGCCTGTAGGAGGACATGCCCGCCCTAACTCTGGCGCCCAGCAGCGGTCGTCAGGCGTAACGAGGGGAGGGGGGATAGGCATAGTAGAGTCGCATCGACCCCCGGTCGCGCACTGATCGCCGATAGGGGCCCGACAGCCCAAACCTGGCCAGGAACGTTCGGAATCACAACTGGGGGCCTGTCGCTGATCTATCTGCGATGCATCGCCGATTCCAGGTCAATGCTTCCCCCCCCCTTATGCCTATCCCCCCCCCTATCGTTGCCCCTCAGGTCGTTGCACGGGCCAACCCCCAGCCCCCCCCCCAGCTAGCCGCCGAGTTGAGGCACTTGCACAGAGGCCCGCTGAATGGGGAGGAGGGGGCGGAGGAGGATGAGGACGAGGACGAGGTGGAGGAGGAGGAGGAGGAGGAGGAGGAAGAGGAGGAGGAGGAGGAGGACGAGGCACGCCCCCCCCCTTTTCCGTAAGCGCGGTAACGACCCCACGTTTGGGGGGGGCGGGGCCCGCCCCGTGCTCGCAGGCGCTGTTGCCGAGGCCCAGAGGTCTTGCCGGTGCTCGCGGGCCCCCACGGCCCGCGCGAGCTGTGCCGTTCCCCGGGGGCCTCGCCACGGCCGTCGCGATTTCCGCGATCTCCTCGGTGGTCCTCCTCCTCCTCCTCCCTCCTCCTCCTCCTCCTCCTCCTCCTCCTCCTCCTCCCCCTCCTCCCCCTCCTCCTCCTCCCCCTCCTCCTCCTCCTCCTCCTTGGGTCGGGCCCAACCCAGCTATACCTTGAGGGGTAGCGCGGTGACACCGCATGCCTGGCAAGATCTGGACGGTCACCAAACATAATTTGCCAGGCGCGCGTTGGTCTTCAGATGCTCATGCCAAGGCGCCGGCCATGATGGAGGGAAGAAGTGGGACGTGCATGGGTATTGTGTGAGAGTTGGCGCTTACAATTCTAATTGTGGATCGCCTGAAGCATGCACTCCTTGAGTTCCCGATGCTTCTGCACCCCCTGGGATACTCCTGATGCCTTGGTTGGCCTCCAGCGGAGCCCCGGGCAACCGAACAGGAACGATGCCTGGACGCCGCCATCGTTTCCGTCCCCGCATGGTGCCAGCGGGAAGGGGCTGGCAAAAATATGTTTGCCGGCCCCCCCCCCGCGTGGTGCCAAACAAGGCCACCGATTTTTTGCCGGCCCCATTTTTTACAGGGTTGGCTAAAATCCGCGGTGACCGCCGGCTGGGGCTGGCAAAAATATGTTTGCCGGCCCGGCATCCCTGGCACCAGCGGAACGCCACAGGCACCGACACCGGCGAATCCAGTGCCGAATTTGACCCAACGGCGTGGTGAGTGGCATTTCATCTCGACGGTGCTTCCGAGACTCATGCGACGCCATCTGCCCCGGTATGTGCACCCCTGCCCCCTGCCCTCGTCGTCCTTTCCCCATCCCCGATCTCTCACTCCCCCCTCCAATTGCTCCTCCCTCATCCCACTCGTCCCTTTTTCTCTTTTGATATAACACAATTTGTATCTGGGCCTCTTCGCACCAGCCTGGCGATGTCACCACGGCCCTCAATATGGTGACGATTTGGTGCCCATCCTGTGGCCGCCTATATGAGATCTATAACACCAAGGTAACGCCACTTTTAGCTGGGTTGGGCCCCAACCTCCTCCTCCTCTCTCCTCCTCCTCCTCCTCCTCCTCCTCCTCCTCCTCCTCCTCCCCTTTCTCCTCCTCCTCTTCCGCGATCTCCTTGGAGGTCCAGCGGAGTGCTCCCGACTGCGGGCCTTCTTCGTGAGGTCCTTGGGGGGGGGGTGAGTTACCCGGTCCTCCCCCGACCTGGGTCATTCGAGGCCTCCAAGATGGGTCCGCGAAGGGCGAAGATCGGGTCGGAGGATCGCGCCGCATCGACGATGCATCGGCGGTGCGGCTCGACGTGGAGCCCGATTTTCTCCACGCTGGCAAGGCCGACGCATCGCCGATGTCGCCGATGCGTCGGCGATGCGTCGGTGATGTATCGCCGATGTATCGGCGATGCGGTGCGATCCTCCGACCCCATCTAGGAGGCCTCTAGTAACGACAGTTCCCTGGAATCAATGAAACTGCCATGAACACAATCTCCCCCAAATCCCTTGACCTCCCGAAGTAGAAGGTCATTCAGAAAAGTTGGGGAACTCGGGGATGCACCCCCAGGGGGTTATCCAGACGCAGCCTTCCCGAGAATGGGCGCCCCCCATCGCACATATCCGAGTTCGGCCCCAAATTTTTTGGCCAATCGAAAATCCCACAACGTCTGGTAGCGAGGTCGCCATGCACCCCCCGTTAGTCCCCACGGCAGTCTTTGGAGGGAGCCCAGCGGGGAATGCGAGGGTCGGCAGCAGCGCTACGGGGGATTATGATCCCGGGGGCCTCCAGGGTGCATCGGCATGCGCGGGAAGGCGGCATGCGGCATGCGCGGGTAGGCGCGGATCTTGTCTGAATTGTCACGGGGTGGCCTCAAAACGTGGTTGTTCAACCGCGAGCGCGAGCGCGAGCCCATGACTTGTCTCCACGACGGCTTCGGTTCAGAGCTTCGTGCCAGCGCAGGTCATTTTGGCAAGTCTCTGAGATGCGCGCGAAAGTATTGTTTTGCATTGGATTTAGCATGAGCGCATGCTGTTCTTGTGCACCGGAAGAGCAAGCTAAGGTACAGGGTGCATGGATTATGCCAAATCTTGGGAGTGACAGGATGGACATGGGCAGCGGGTTTCAGGTGGCTCTTCCAGCAGCTTGAGGGCCCAGTGTATGTGTGGGGCTGGGAGAACCGCGACGACCGCTGAGGGGGGGGGTGCTAGCCTTGCGGAGAGGAAAGAATATATATGGCGAGTTCGGCAAAGCATGCCATGAGATCAGAAATCGGGTGCAGAGACGAACGGAATGTGTGTGCAGGTGCACGAATACGATATCCCCAATGCGTGCAGTAAGCCGAATGTGATGTTAACATTGTGGTGTGCGATACAAACCGATGCTGTTAGTTCACTTGCTTGTTATGTACGCCGATGTCTCCTTTGCGTTGCAGATACGTGTGTCTAGCATTGCTGGCAGAGGCGCGTGGCGTTTTCATCCGCTTCAAAGGATGGGAGGACTGCACTGTTGTCGACATTCCTACGGATTGTATCGGTCAGCTCAGCTTGTTCTCTCTCAATTGGAGGTGTCAGATCAGCGTTCGTGTTATGTTTTCAGCTTCTTAGCTTGGGTGTTGCTTCGTTTGTTGTAGGTTAGCGTTGTACTCGGCACTACTTAATTTCTCTGGCTGGTTCCCAAGTTCCACATGAGGTTTGATGGGTCTTGATGAGTGGATACAGGGACGTCCTCACCAGGAAGAGGTAGAGGATCGGCATTGCAGTTGTCCTGACACATCACTTCGACTGTCTCTCACATCTGCATGCGTGTTGCTTTGTTTCATGGCTGAGTCCTCGAAGGTTCCAACGCTGGCGTGCCACCCCTTTGCCTTCAGTGTTCCAGGTATGAAAGATGATTCCAATATCACCCCGAGTAAACTCAGGCATGTTGTTTGACAGATGTTCGAGGCTAGAGAGATATGCCTGGAACTTGTCACGTTGCGACTCGGTGCAAGCCTTGATGAGCACGTGACGTGTCCGGCAGTTCCTGCGCCTGCTATTTTGCAATGGCTCTCCGTCGTGCAGCTCGGGCATCCTATCAGGCTCGAGCGCGTCGCTCGCGCCATGGCCGCCAGGCTACATCACCGGGAACCGCCGGGCCACGCTCGGCGTCATGGAGGAGGAGTGGGGAACTCTGATGTTCTTCATGAACGAATCCGAGGACCCGCGAGAAAATGCGGCGTCGGAGCGCCAAGTCTTGGTGCGAGTCCTCGCTCGCCATAGTCAGACGGGGGCCTTCGAACTGATGGGCGGAAGCAGCGGGTGATTTGGCAGCCAGCGCGGTGTATTCATTCAGCCCGACTTGCAGCCAGAGGGGGCCAGTCTCGAAAGATCTGGTGGATTACAACGTTTACCCGAAATATTCAATCCGGAGCTTCTCCCACCATGACGGGATCTGTTACATCTAAGTGTATCCCAGCGTGGAAGCCAGATTGTGAGTTCTTGCATTATCGCGGGTGCTGTTTGTGTGTGTGTGTGTGGAGCAACGTCTGTTGCAATGCTTGAATATATCGAAGACGCCTACGGCAAATCACCCCCCCTGTTTTTTTGAAAGCGCCTATGTGGACAAACGTTACGGCCAGATTTCGACCAAGCTATCGGACTATGTGTTCCCTAGCCGTTGTGGAAGCCCTTCGGGGAACTCGGGTGGGAGAGAAAAAGAGAAGGGGAGGGAGGACGGAGGAGGAGGAGGAAGAGGCCTCCTGGGAGCTTCCTGAGGGCCTCTTGTAGGCCTCCTGGGGGCTTCCTTGGACCTCTTGGGGGCCTCCTTGAGACTCCCTGGGTGACCCTTTGGCCGTCTGAGGGCGTTCCTGCCCCGTCTGATGCGGGGCTGGGCCCCCCAAGGCGGAGCCCAGGCCCCCCGAGAGCGTGAGGCTGGGCCGCGCGCGCTGGGCAGCGGGACCAGTCCTCCTCCTCGTTTTCCTCCTCCTCCTCCTCCTCCTTCTCCTCCTCCTCCTCCTCCTCCTCCTCCTCCTCTTCCTCCTCTTCCCCCTCCTCCTCCTCCTCTTCCTCCTCTTCCCCCTCCTCCTCCTCTTCCTCCTCCTCCCTCGGCCACGCTCCCCCATCCTCCCACTCCTTCTCCCTCTCCCTCTCCTTCTCCTTCTCCTCCTCCTCTTCCTCCTCCTCCTCCTCCTCCTCGTCCTCCTCCTCGTCCTCCTCCTTCTCCTCCTCCTCCTCCTCTTCCTCCTCCTCCTTTTTCCTCCTCCTTTTCCTCTTCATCCTCTTCCTCCTCCTCCTTATCCTCCTCTTCCTCTTCCTCTTCCTCCATCCGCGCTCACCAGGGCGTGAAGAGGAGCCTTCACTCTCAGGGGGTGCATTGGCTCCTCCTCCTTCTCCGCCTCCGTCTCCTTCGCCTCCTCCTGCCCCTCCTCCTCCTGTATTGGGCCTCCGGTGCAGCCTCCTCTCCTCCGCCTCCTGTACTCCTCCTCCTCCTCCTCCTCCTCCTCCTCCTCCTCCTCGTCCGCTTCTTTCGCTTCCTCGCGCCGGCGCTGGCGCCAGCCCCCCCCCCCGCCTGCTCTCACCCCCCTTCCCGGTGTCCGTGCCCGGGAAGGAGAAGGGCCGCGGCCGCGGTGGCACCGAGAAGCTGGCCATCTTCGGGCCGGAGCGGCCGCGGCGCGGCTCCGAGCTGAAGGCGGCAAGGGAGTCTTGCATGTTCTCACATCTCCGTCTGTAGAGTGCATAGGTTCGAGTTGGCGTAAGAGTGACCTTTCGCTGGAGTGACCTTTGGTGCGGGCTCAACGGGGTCCCCTGATGGCCGAATGCGATGCGATAGTAGCGTCTTGCGCGCTTGTGCTTGGTCACCCCGCCGCCCCAACAAAAACCGTGCACCAAAGGTCACTCTTACCCAGGGTCACTCTTGCGCGCAGCCGAATAAGTGTACGCCAGCGTCTGGTAACCGATGAGAAAACGCAGATTTACTTTCAGCGCTCGCAAATTAAGTGTCGATGTGCGTCCATTCGCGTCTACCAGCGTCAATGGCGTCGGGTCGCAAGAGTCAGCAAGATGGCACGGGAGGCTCCAGTGAGTTGCCACAGAAGGCGGGGGCGGGGTCCTATTACAGGTCCTCGCCTTCGAAGGTTTTTCCGTTGACTCGCGGATGTTCGCCTGCCTCCAGACCCAGACATATTAGGCCTCCCAGATGGGGTCAGAGTAAGTCGGATCGGAGGATCGCGCCGCGGTCCGAGTAGATGGGGTCGGAGGAGTGCGCCGCATCCCCGATGAAGCGCAGATGCGGTTCGACGTTGAGCCCAATAATCTCCATGCCGACGTCGTCGATGCGGCGCGAACCTCCAGTCCATCTACTCAAACCCCATCTGGAAGGCCTCTACTCCAGACCCAGGCATGCTCATGTCGTGGAGAACACGACGGACGGTGTTTGGTAGTTTTCGGCCTGTTTCGGGGCCTTGCCGGACCGGGGGACGGTCAAAAAATTGCTCGGGATGAAAACCGACCCTGGTCTCAAGCAGTGGCGAAGCGTCTTGGCTTAGCTACGGTGGGGGCGTTCGTGAAGGAACGTGGCCAGGACGCTTCAGACCCTGGGGGGTTCCTTATCTGATGAGGAAGGCGGTGATATCCATGGTCAGTTCACGATTGGAATTCCGCCAGCTTCCAGACCCTGGCTTCCTTATCCAACGATTCCTTATCCAATGCCCTCACCGTGCCTATAGGAATGCTGGGACGGTCGATCCCTGCTCATCCTTGGGAAAGGTCGGGATTTCCGGGGACCGCGCATCGAAAATTATCTTGGCGAAGGACCCAGCCATGTGCAGCTGTGTGTAACGCAATTTTGGGTATCGTCCTCGGTGAACCTCTCTCTGGGGCCACGACGCGTGTGACGTGTGTGCCAAAACTGGCACGTGTACGCCATGCGGACGCTGCCACCGGAGCCGTCGGTGCAGCCCCATTTGAGGCCACGAAACGTGTGAGAGGTGCGGCGAAATGCACGGTGGAACCACGTGCTGGTGTTGCCACTAGGGCCTTTGGTGGCCACGTAACGTGGAAGGGGTGCGCCGAAGTGTAGGGTGGAACTGCATGCGGAACCTGCCACTGGGGCCCTGGGTGGAACACTCTCTGGGGCCACGAAACGTGTGAGGGGTGCGCCAAAATGGAAGTGAAACTGCATGCGGACCCTGCCACGGGGGCCTTCGGTGGAGCACCTTATGGGGCCACGAAACGTGTGAGGGGTGTGCCGAAATGAGGTGGAACTGCATGCGGACCCTGCCACTGGTGCCATGGGTGGAGCATCCTATGGGGCAGCGGAACGTGCGAGGGGTGCGCCGCAATGGGGAGGTGGAACAGCATGCGGACCCTGCCACTGGTGCCATGGGCGGAGCACCCTATGGGGCCACGAAAACGTGTGAGGGGTGCGCCGAAAGGGGTGGAACTGCATGCGGACCCTGCCACTGAGGCCTTGAGCGGAGCACCCTATGGGGCCACGAAACGTGTGAGGGGTGCTCCGAAATGAGGGTGGAACTGCATGCGGACCCTGCCACTGAGGCCTTGGGCGGAGCACCCTATGGGGCCACGAAATGTGTGAGGGGTGCTCCGAAATGATGGTGGAACTGCATGCGGACCCTGCCACTGGGGCCTTCGGTGGAGCCCCCTATGGGGCCACGAAGCGTTGGATTGGGTGGGTGAAACGCAGGGAGGAGGGAGGAGGGGGAGGGGTAGGAGGGAGGGGACAGCTGGAGGAGGTGAGACGCGGGGCGCTGTCTCTTCAAAACCTTTGACCCAACACCACAGACTTGTAGGGAAAAACAGCAAGGCAGGCCTCGCATGCCTGGGGATGCTTCGCTCCAGCAGCTGCGCCTCGCCGAGAGCGCTCTCTTTGGGGGAGCCCAGACCCTCCCGCACGGCCGCCGGGGGCCCGAGCCCAGCGCACCCGTCAACGAAAATGTCGGGCAACGCCCCAAACGAGCCTGTCGCGACCGAAATTCGGCCCCCTGTCGCGAGCGGCAAACAAGTGCGTATCCGCGCCCTCGCGGTCTGGATTCCGGGGCGCGATCCCGCGGATTTGCGCGGTCGCTCGGAGACTTTCGCGTGGGGGGGGGCATCTGCGCAAAAAAACGCTCCGTATCTGCCGGGGTCGCGGCTTAGGGGACTGGCCCGCGAAGCCGCGGATACGGATCTGTTTTTCGTTCACGAATTGTGCTGCGAATTCCGGTAGCGAGTGAGCCGTCGACGTCTTCGAAATATTCGTCTGGACCCCAACGCGCCGTCTCTTCGTTACCGAACTTCGACCCTCTCCTGTCGCGACCGACATTCCACACGACCAGAATCCGTTATCGAAGCTATCCGTTCGCAGATGATGTGAGAGATGGTCCGGAGGCCCGAAGGGAGAGTGGGCCGGCCGCACGTAAGAGTGACCCTTCGCCGGGGGCGGAGCGGCTGTTCCTGTGCCTCTGGCGCGGTGATCTTTTGTTCGGCGGCGCGCAGAGGGGTCCGGGTAGGGGGAGGGAGGGAGGTTTTCAGAAGCACCCGGGCTTCTTAGAAGGCGCGGGCCTTGCCTGTAGATGTAGGGCCGGCGCCTTCTAAGAAGCAGCATCCTTTTGAGAAGCCGTCCCCCTCCCCCTACCCCCCTCTACGCGCTGCCAATATGGGGGATGTGTGTGTGTTTTTCTTGTCCAGCTCCCACGACAGTGTTCAAGGGGTTCGGTGGACAAGCACGCGTTGTCGGGACATTTTGAACAAATCCAGAAGGAGGCATTTCACAGCTGTCGGCCTCCAGGGGCTCTCGCCGTCAAGAAGCGGCTCAAGACGAAGAGCCAGTCCCTGTGGAGGGGTCGAGACCTCTGGGGGGTCCACGCTGCGAGGAGCGTCGCGGCGACGCCGAAGGTCTGGCGAAAGGGAGGGAGGGATTCTGCATGTCGTCGTCGCAAGGGGGAAGGGTGGGGCAGGACGGTCGCTCGCCCAGGAGGAGAAGGGATGAGGGGGGGTGACTGCCGCCTGCCCGCTGCTGGCTTCGCTGGTAGCTTGGCTGCCGCCGCCTGCTCTCGCTCGCCGTTCGCTCGTTCGCGCGCTCTCGGGCGCGCCCCTTCACGGCCGCGGCGCTCGGGCGCGTCGCCGGGCGGAGGAACGCCCGTGGGGCGCGAAAGGCAGAAAGGCGGGGGGGGGCTGCTCATGAAAGCGTGGGGGTCCCGTTCTCAGGACCCTCTGTGGAGTGCACGACATTTTTTTAGAACGTGTCTGGCTGAGACCAGTTCGCTGGTCTCATGTTCTAAGAACGCTGTTCCTATCCTGAGAACATGTCGTGGTAGGTCTTCGGTCATGCCGGGACGGCCGGTCCCTGCTCAACCAGCAGCCCCGACGGGGTGGTCCCAGGAGTAGCCCAGGCCGGTCTCAACAGTTCGGCGCCGCTGCGCTCCGCGCTCCTCCAGGCCTCCCAGATGGGGTCCGAGTAATTAGGTGGGGTCGGAGGATCGCGCCGCATGGCTGGTGCATCGCCGATGCGGCTCGATGTGGAGCCCGACTTTCTCCACGCCGACGGCGCCGAGGCATCGCCGACGTCGCCGATGCATCGCCGATGTGTCGCCGATGCATCGCCGATGCGTCGGTGATGCGGCGCGATCCTCCGACCCCGCCAACTCGGACCCCATCGAGGAGGCCTCTACAGTGGAAGCCAATGCCAATAAACACCCTGCTCGCCTCCAGGGTGCCTTGGGTTTCTTATGTTTCGATGGTTTTGCGATGAAAAGCGCGACGTCCCTACGCCAAACATCAATGGACGTCCTGGGGTCTCAGGGTTGGGTTTCTCGTGGAAGGTTCCTTGTGGACTCGCCTCCACTGTAGCTCCGCGCCCGAGGGCTGGGGCTTGGCTGTTTCCGGGGGGCGGCCACCTGAGGCCCGCCGGGGATTGCTTCGGGGGGCGTCTGGTGCGCGGCCCCAGGCCGCACGGGCGAGGGAGAGGAGGAGAGATGATCTCAGGAGGTCCTGGGATTTGCCCCCCTCCCCCCCTACTACTCTCGGCACTGAATAGAACTGGCCCCTCCTCCTCCTCCTCCTCCTCTTCCTCCTCCTCCTGGTCCTCCAGGTGCCGCGGAGGAACACGTAGTTTCCACCATTGGCCAGGCTCCAGTCCGTCAATAAGAAGGGCGTCGGGTTCACAATTTGTTTCCCGTATTTTTCCAGGGTGTTCTAAAGACCTAGTCTGGCTACTTCGTCTTTCGATCGAGGCATCGCAAACGTCCCCGATCCGCGGATTTGGCGCACACACGCCAGATCCAAGTCAGCGTGTCGCGGCCGATTCGCCGATTCGAAGCTGTTGAGGGGAGGGGATGTCTTCCCTCGAAGTCTGGCACTGGAGGTTCCCAGCGAACGGCAGGCAGTACGCATAGTCCACTGCCCTTTTTTGTCACCGCCACCACCCTCTCCTCGGAAACTGCGAACTCAGCCTCCGGTGAGGATCCGCTCCTGGATGCTCCGGAGGCCAAGGTCCTCACTGCCGCCATCGGAGTTCTCGGGGAAGCGGCAACCTCGAGCTTGCCAGACCTCGGGTTTGCCTGCCCTTTGCTCGACGGCACCGGTGTGATCGTTGGCGGGCCAGTCTTCGTGCGGTGCTTTGCAGCGGGAGCTCACGCCAGATTTCATCGGCCACGCGCAGAGGTGGGTGAGAGGAGGGGGGAGGGCTTCTTAGAAGCACCCCTGCTTCTTAGAAGGCGTGGTCGTTACCTATAGATGTAAGGCCGGCGCCTTCTAAGAAGAAGCCTCCTTCTAAGAAGCCCTACCCCCTCCCTCCACCCCCTTGTGCGCGCCGCCAATTTCACCCCGGGGGCCCGTCATTTTCCTGGCGGCCCCGTCGGGCAAGTCCGAGCCACCCAGACTCGAGCCTCCCGTCTCCCAGGAACGGTTTCCATGGCTTGCAGATGAGTCGGGATGTCGGATTGGCTGCGGTAGCGTTGTTTGGCCACCTCGCCCCTTAAGGGTGCGATTCCTGGGAGGTAGATTCCGAATCGGCGCTGGTAAATCCCTGGCCGAAGACTGGCCGAATCTCGTTCAATCCCGTTGAGTCTTGCTGAATCTGGTTGAATCTGGTTTTATACCGCTCAATCCTGCTCAATCCCATGTGCAATCTGGCCTAATCTGGCTCACTTGTTTTTTGTATCGGGCTTAATCGCCCTCAATCCTTCTGACGAAGATCTCCCAGGAGTTGCCTCCTAATCGTTCCTGGTGTCGAGATAGTGGCGCCGATAGACTGGGGAGGTTATGAGCGGCATCGAGACCAAGAGCCCCGGGTTCTTCACGCGCGGCATCCGGGACCGGAGCAGGGATGCCTGCGGGAGTGCATGGTATGCTTTCCAAGAGGTTCGCAGTTTTTCGCCCTCTCATCGCCTTTCTGGGCGTGTTCTTGCACTTGTGTCGACGCCGGGGTCCGAGATGCATCACTTGTGGTGCGTGGGCGCGCGAGATCGAGGCGTTCGGGCGTGGCGCGATCATCTGTAATATCGTTAGGCTGGCGGCCCACCTGACAGAGCGTTCAAGCGACAGGGCTGAGTCGGCGTGGGATGTCTACGGTGGGGAACTTTTGGGAATGCGACACCGCTGGTTCTGGCCCACTACGCTGCGGCGCGAGACGCTATCCACGTTCCGGTCTCCGAGCGTCCACGTACAAGGTTGGGTCCGGGTGGGTGAGATTTGGCGGTGTGCGCTGCGTGGTGGGGCAAGGGTGGCGGTATTTTAACAAGAGAGGACGTTTTTTTTGAAGGGATCGTAGGCTTCAGGAAAGAGTCTTCGAACGCAGGAGGTTCCGAGATGACTCTGAGTTCTTAGAGGGCCGTCCCCCCCTACCGGACCTCTTGCGCGCGAGGCGAATGCATGCAAAGCAGTGGTGGCCTTTGGGAGCCCATCGGATGGCCTTTGGCAGGTTCAGTAGCCCCAGGATCCAGGATGGCTGGGAGCGACATTCGATTCGATCACGTAGATAGTTCGGTTCCACAGGCGGATTTGGCTAAACTTCTAGGAAATCCCCCCCTCTCGTCGTCCAGGATCGTTGTGTTGAAGTGTTCCGATTATGTGGGGGCATCCAGAGGCCTCTAGATACTTCTCTGGACGCCTCCAGCGATCTTCAGGGACGGACTTTTTTCCAATTGTGCAAACCGCGAGGGGATCCTACGCAGGTTTGGGACTCAAAATCTTGGCCACCGAGTTTCAAGGCTTCCCCATGTGGTTGCCAATTTGTAATGCGGAGGTGTGCGCACAGTGTCTTCAGATGTGTGTCAGCACAGGGCCATCATGTCTGGTTTTGATTTGGAAAGGGCACATTGCGGCGTTAACGCTCGCTGGTGTACGAGAAGAGGCGGGCTGACAGTGATTGGTGGAGGAGAAGTCATCAGACTTCCCGGGTTTCGACACCGACCGCATGTTGTTTCGAGATGAAGAGGCGACGCCTTAGTGCACATGCGCACCGCTCTGCACATGCGCATCGCTCTGCCGTGGCCTTCTTGTGAAATGGATGCATGGGTGTGGACAGCATCTTGAGATGTTGGAAGGGATTGCTCAGATTTGAGGTTGTGGCCGAATCACGGCAAATTCTGAGCAGTGATTTTGCAGCTTACACAGATGTGACATGTTTAGGCATTCCCGAAACGGTGTTCGCACTTAGGGGTTTGCATGCTTGTTCTAAGGATTTGGGCTGTTTCTTCGGTCTGGCGGCTATGTGTCCGTCGTCCCCGCCTCGTCGCCGCCTCGTCGCCGCCTCGTCGCCGCCTGTCTTTTGGGCCGTGTCTTCGGTCTGGAGGTTATGTGGCCGCCGTCACCGCCCAGTCGCCGCCTCGTCGCCGCCCGTCGTCTGGGCAGTGTCTTCGGTCTGGCGACTGTGCGGCCGCCGCGGCCGCCCCACAGATCATGCACAACATAGATTTAACCACATAGACAGCACCACATAGATCTCACAACATAAATGGCACCATATTGATTGCATCACACGCGTTGCACCAGGTATATTTGCACTCCGTATTGCATAGCATAGGCTGCACACCATATAGTACACAAACATAGTGTACCACGAATGCTGTGCTTCATATTTGGTTCCATCAAATAGCACAGCATGTTATACCTCATAGAACGCACCCACCGCATACATTGTACAGCATAGGGTGCACAGCCTAGATTCTCCTTTCTTGACAGAAATTAAACTGTACCCCCCCACGGGGTTATCCGCCCCCCCTGCCGTATTGTAATGAACTTTTGATTATGCCCCATCGTCCATCTTGAATTTGAGTTCGTATCATCCCAGCTAGGCCGGCAGCGATCCCCTTTTCATCTTCCGAAAAAGTGCTATGCGCGCGCATTCGTTCATCAACAAACATCACTTTTCAAAAATCCGTTGTGCCAAAAGTGTGGCGAAGTGCACACACGTCGTCGCGCGCGCATGCCGAAATCCCTCAAAATCAGATGGTTGCAGAAGGATGTCAAAACCCAATGCCCCGAAACCAAAAATAACAAATTCGCAACAGCACTTTTCAACAAACAACTTGTGCTCGCTTTTTCACAAATCCTCAACATGTGCATGGAATTTTGCCAAACCGGCCTTTTTAGCCGCATGTCGACATCATTCGAACGCCCTTGCGCGCGTGCTGGCACCATGCGGGCCACTCTCGCGCGTCGGCCGCGCGCGCATGTCGAACCCATTCGAACACCCTCACCACCGACGCGAGGACGCCGTCATCGCCGCCGGTGTGATCAGCATCGGCGCCGTCACTGGCCGTGCCGTCGTCGTTGTCAACATCGTCACCAACATCGCTGCTATCATCATCGTGTCTACCGCTCTCGACGTTGCCATGATGCCGCGCCCGCCCATGTCGCCGACTTTCACTGAAGTGCCCACTGAGATGTGCCCAGCGGTCAGCGCCACCGCGGCCGCGTCGGTCGCGCCAAACTAGCTGGCCGCTGCGCGCGCGTGCATGCGCGGGCTGGCGCGGCCCCAGAGATGCACCAGCCATCCCAAGTACTCATTGCATTCGCCTCCGCATAGGTTTTGCAAAGAAGTTCCGGGTGGGTGGGTGGGATGACTCCTCGAGCACAGGGGTTGACCGATTTAAGTTGAGCGTTGGTGAATTGCACCAGATAGGCCGTTTTCACTTCGATTGTATCACATCGGTTACATTTCACATCTTTCACCATAGAATGCACCACACAGATTGCATAGCACATATTGCACCTTATATGTGTCACCATCATATAGTCACTACATACAACATAGAAAGCGCAGCCAATATTGCACAGCACAGATTGCACCGCATATGCTTACCAACATATACTGCACATCATATGTTGTGCCTCGTAGGTGGCACCATTCGCACTGCACAACACAGGTTGCACAACATCGACTGCACCGCACATGTGGCCAGAACAGCATTCTTCGGAATCCACGCTGGCTGACACGTAATGATAGCTGCCCCTCCATCGCCACTTTGTGCGCAGAGCTCAGCCACCCCGGCGTTTACCACGCTAGCGCCTTTGACCGTTCGTGGGCGGATCGTGTGCGCCCCGTGCCTTGGGTGGGTCACCCGAGGATTCGCCGCGGTGCCGTGCACGTGCCCACCCGTAGTGGCCGATTGGGCGCCCCGTGCCTTGTGTCGTTTTACGGAGGTTTCGCCGCGTTGGCGCCCGTGCCCGCTCGCGGGCGCCCCGTGACCCAGATAGCTCGCACCGCAAAGCTCACACCGCATAGCTCACACCAATTAGTTGTGGCCACATAGTTTCCACAGCAAGTACTACGCCACATAGCTTGACTTGCAACACATGAATCACACCACATAGTTCAAATCGCATCGATGGACAAACTAGCTAACAGCACATATATTACACCAGCTCCCTTTTCACCACGTAGCTCTATAGTTGGCAGGACATGGCTCACACCATGCAGTCGGCATCACATTGGTGGCACACCATAGCTTACACCACATAGCTTGCACCATATAGCTCACAGCACAGAGATCACAACGCAATGCTTGCACGGCATGGTTTACACTTAAAGTTTTGCACATGACAGCTTCTACCTCCAGAGTACAATAACCCACCGTATGGGGTCCACGCTGGCTAATGCATGCGATATCGCGTCTCGCCTTCTGCGCCATCGGCCCTTTCATTGTCAGGATGATCCGTGTCTCCGATTCGATCGATGTATGCCAAGTTTCCAGCTTGATTGGTTTCCAAATGCGTCATTGACGCTTGTGGGGTTTGAGTTTGCAACACGACGAGCTTGCTGCACGTTGCCCCTCTCCACCTAGCCGTCTCCTCGTTTCTCTTCGCCGCCTACCATAGCCCTGGCCCTAGGTGAGCTACGCGCTTGGGAAAGATGGGGCGACGCGCAAGAAGTTGGAGATGGCGTCGGGCGCCATCTTGCAGTGACCCAGCCATGAGCGGTAATTTTGGATTGGCCAGAAAGAACCAGAGAGAAGGAGACAGAGAGCCGAATGAGAGAGGAAGCGGGAAGGGTTGGGGAGAAGCGCGGGCGGAAGGAAGCAGGAGGAAGGGAACCATGCAGGCATGGAGTAAAGGAGCGGAAAGGCGGGGGAACCCGACCAGGGAGGGCTGAGGAGAAGCTCGGGAGGCTCGAACGCCCTGCATCTCGAAAAATCGCGACCAGAGCCTTAGATGCTATCTTTTTGCTGCAATGTTTGGAGCCAGGTCGATCCCGTGGCTTCGGGGCTCGAAGCCATGCAAAAATCCGCCCGTGGTGGAGGTGGAGGAGTTGCGACGCCAGGATCTCGGGCTCGGTCTCGCGCCTCAAGCCCTTGCTCCCCAGCCGCGGGCGGGGGTCCGTCGTGACTTGGGCATTGCGAGAATGCCCACCCAGAAAAGTCGACTGAGGAAATCTGCAGCGCTTCACTCGACACTGGCATTCGAGTGTGCCGGTGCAGTCCGCAGTCGGCCGTGCGTTTCGCCTGAAGTGTTGATTGTTTTTGGACGTCGGTTGGCCTATTACCCCCCTGCGGTGCATTCAGAAAGCGGTGCATTCAGAAAGCGGTGCAGTGGGGCCTGGCAGGCGGTGTGGAGAGTACATGTGGTGCGTCGCGGTCGTCCCCTTTCCTCGTAAAAAAAAATATCAGAAAGCGGTGCAGTGCGCGCGTGGAGTGCCCCTGGCAGCCACTGAAGGGTGTTTTGCTCAAGTTTCTAGCCTGGAACGCATCCCTATCCCTTTGTTGGGCATCGCCTTATCACGATGCCGACCTCAAGGGTTCCTTCAGTTTCTGAGGGCGCATTCCTAAGATTGTCTTCGCCTTTTGGCGTGTCATTCTTCGGGATAGGAGCAAGTTCAAGGCTGGTTACAAAAGGGGTTCTGTCCCGGACTCCCGACGTCATGATTTTTTCATGACGTCGACCCCCATAGGGCTAGACCCATTCCCCGAGACAGGTTTTTTTCATCGTGCGTCGTTTCTTGACTGTCCCGAGGCCCGGCAGGGGCCCCCAGAGTCCGAAAATAGGGAAAAACCTCCCGTCGTGTTTTTTGTTCACGACGCGAAGTGGTCTGGGGTCCACCCGCGAGTCGTGCGGCCGTGGCAGGTCGCGCCCCAGGGCCCCCAAGGGGTGCGTCTAGGCCTCCTAGATGGGGTCCGAGTACAAGGGGTCGGGGGATCGCGCCGCATCGCATTGGCGATGCGGCTCGATGTTGAGCTCGATTTCCACGCCGACGTCGCCGATGCACCACCCGCGTCGACGATGCATCGCCGGTGCATCGCCGATGCATCGCCGATGCATCGTCGATGTGTCGGCGATACGGCGCGATCCTCCGACCGCACCTACTCTTAAGTCGGGCGTGTCCATCTACAGGAGGAATATTCTAACATAGCCAAAAATCATAATATGGGGACGATTCTTCGACTAGATTTGACATGTTTGTAAACATTGTTTTAATGTATTTTTCGACTTTCGTCAAACATCATCCTGTAGAAGGACACGCCCGACCTAAATCTACTCCGACCCCATCTATAGGAGGCTTCTAGTGTGGCCGCCGGCCGCGCGCCCGAGTCGGTGGCGCATCCGGGGCCCCCCCGGCGGCGCAGCAGAAGCGCCGCCAGGGCGCACCGCCAGCCGCCAGCCGCTCGAGCCTCCCGGGGGAGGGGGGGGCTGGCCGCCGATCGCGCCCGGCTCGGTGATTCCAGGCTTAGGTCGGGCGTGTCCTCCTACACGTAGACTGTGGAAGGGAAACGAAAAAGTTTCCAAAAAGTTTCCCCAAAAAACGTTCCCGGACCAAGTTCTTGCTATTCTTGAATATTCCTCCTGTAGAGGGACGTGCCCGACTTGATTCTAGGCCTCCCAGATGGGGTCCGAGTAGATGGGGTCGGAGGATCGCTCCGCATCGCCGGTGCACAGGCGATGCGGCTCCATGTGGAGCCTGGTCTGCGCCGCGCTGGGGCCGCCGATGCGCCGCCGCCGTCGCCGATGCATCGACGATTCATCGTTGTTGCATGGCTGATGCATCTCTGACGCATGGGTGATGCACCGACCACGCGGCACGCTTGGGTGATGCATCGACCCATCTACTCGTAAAGTCGGGCCTGTACCTCTACGGGAGGACAATTCAAAAAGGGACGACTTGTCGACTATTTTCGTACTATTTCTGGATGCTTCTGCCAAGTGTTCACGGGTCGCCCACAATCCGCCTGCAGGAGGACATGCCCGACCGAAATCTACTCGGCCCCATCTGGGAGGCCTGTGGCGATCGCGCCTCGGGGCCTCCGGGAGCGATAGGGCGCTCTGCCAGAGCGGATCGGGTCGCCAGCCGCCTGGGCCTCTCCATCAGAGGAGGAGCAGGTAGAGTCGGACCAAGGTGTAGCAGGGCTCGTTTCGATTCCTTCGATTCGATTCTATTCGATTTCGATGGTTTCCGAATCCGATTCGATTCGGCTTTGGATTCCTACTTGAGGTCCGGTTTCTCAACGGCGGCCCACTAGCTTGCCGATGTCCGCCGATTCGACTTCTCCCGACTTGGCTGCCGATTTCCGCCGATCCGATTCATTTCAATCGCCGATTCGACATATCGATTCGATTCTGGGCTCTCCTGGAAGAGCAGGTTCAGTCGGACCGAGGCATAAGATGGAGGTCGGTCTGGGGAGGGTACCTCAGTATCCTGGGCAGGGTGTAGCCTCGGATGCTCTGTGTGTTGTGGCCGGCGGTGGGCCTCGTGTTCTCGAAAAGGATGTTATTCGGTCCGAGGTCCGACTGTAGCGATGCCGCTGCCCTCGCCTCCTTCATGGGGCCCTGAGATCCTGGCGTCTCGATTTCTTGCGCCGGGCGATGTCGTCCGGCTGCGGGCCGCGGGACCCCCACAGCTCGACGCCGCTCGAAAAGTGGCGCGGGAAGACAGGGCCCAGGGCTCCGGTCCTGAGCTTTCGCGATGCTTGTTATTGTTGGCAGCCTCGGCCCTCAAGGTGCCGCTGCCCCTGCCTCGCTTTCGCCTTCTCGGGCCTCCCGGGAGGACCTCGTCGCCAGAGCTGGAGTCGCCTCGAAGTTCTGGCCAGCACGGGCCCCCGGGGAGGTCCCGGGAGTACAGCCAAGACGCTGAAATTAGGAACAGTTTGGATTCGGAAGGGGCTCGATGTTCCTCGCGTCCTTCCGTGGTTGTTCCTGCGGCCCTTCTCGCGTGCACCCAGGCGTTTCTGAAGCCACGGAGGGCTTCGTTCCTCATGTAGCGTCCCTTGTTTCAGCAGCCCGACTGCAGCTGCGTCGGCACCTGCCCGTCCCCTCAGTCCAGGGGGGGGGCCGCCGACCGCGCCGGACCCAACGGCAGCGATTTCGGGCCCGCACGGGGCAGCAGAGAGGCGCCGCCAGGGCGCAGCGCGTCGCCACAGCGCTTCGCGCGGCGACGCCGTCGCCGTCGACGTCGCCGGTGTGCACGGAGAGCAGGGCCTCGCAGCTGTGTCGCTACGGGCGATCCTGCCATGTTTTCTGGGCCCCATGGTCGCAGGCAGCGTTTCTATCCCAGCCCCCGACCTTTTCGACGAGGGCAACCTCGGGATACACCCCCAGGGGGCTATTCGGACGCACCCCTATCGAGGATGGACGACCCCCCTCGTATATCCTGGGGCTGGGCCCAAAACTTCGGGTCCACCCGAAAACCCCACGAAGCTTGGGATAGGGATCGACCTATCCCCTGTTTCAGGACCCTCACTGATCGATCTGGCTCGAAAACATACGCAGAAGGACTGGGGTCCACAGCTCCAGCCGAGTTCTTTTCACGATGTGGCACTCTGTTCGCGACGTCGGATCTCAGGGGGTGGCGGCGTCGACGACGGCGGCGTCGGCTCCGCTCTGCGTCGCCTCGTTGCCGGAGAGGAGCCAACTCGGGCGCCCGCCGCCGTCGGCTGGAGGAGGGGGGTCCATGACCTCTGGCGCGACTCGAGGTCTCGACCCCCGATGGCATGAAAGTGTCACAACGTCGACCCCTCGACAAAAGGTTCACGCTACGGCAGAAATTCACGACGTCGGGGGCCTGTGGAGGAGGCGAAGGGGGGGAGGAGGACGAAGAGCAGAGGAGGCAGGGGGAGGGACCCGGAGGACTCCACTTCGTTCTGCTCCCCCGAGACCAGACGTCGTGGGGATCCTGACCAGAGGCTCCCGACACCCCGTTTCTTCTCTCTGAGAATTGATTCAACGAGATCAAAAGAGATGTGAATGTTTCTCCACTGGACTCGGGTCTCTCCAGAACTACTGGAGAGCAGCAGTCAGACGCTGTGCTAAGCTGCTGGGCCTGGGGCGCGGTAAGCGCCACCCTGATCCAAAATGCCTACTGCCGGGCATGGGGGGAGTCTGAAAACCAGGGCAGGACGCCAAAATGTTACGACGCCACGTGCCGAGCCCTTGTCGACACGCGAGGGCCCTGCTGGGCCGGGGACGGGGCAACGGCGCCTCGGGCCTCCGACGGCCTGGTGTCTTCGAGGCTCCGCGCGCCGGGGTCCTCTCGACCCCCTCCCCGCCACGGAGCGGCTCCTCCTCCCGAGCCGCTTCTGGACGGCACCGCGGCTCGGCGAGGGCCCCCCGAGGGGCCGGGCCTGCGGTCGTGGCCTTTTCTCGACGCGAGGGAGCCTCGGGCCCTCCTCCTCCTCCTCCGCCTCGGCCTCTTCTGCCCCGGTTGCCTGTTCACCTGCTATGGAGGGGGGCCCAGAGGGACCCCCCACATGATCCTCGATCCTGCTGCAGCTCTTGCGGGCCTCTTCCTCCTCCTCCTCCTCCTTCCCTCCTCCTCTCCCTCCTCTCACTCCGACTCCCCCTCTTCCTCCGTCTCCTCCTGATTCTCTCCCTCTCTCTCTCTCTCTTTCTCTCCTCATCCTCCTCCTCTTCCTCCTCCTCCTTCCAACATCCTCTCCCTCCTCTCGCTCCGACTTCCCCTTTTCCTCCGCCTCCTCCTCCTCGTTCTCTCTGTCTCTCTCCTCCTCCTCCTCCTCCTCCTCCTCCTCCTCCTCCTCCTCCTCCTCGTCCTTCTCCTCCTCCTCCTACTCCTCCTCCTTCCCATCGGCCTCCCTCCTGGGGAGCGCAAGCGAGGTACGTCGGGCACGTGGCGTTCATCGCCGGGACGCTGGCGGAGCGGCGCCGCTGCAAGGATGCCGCCCGCGCCTTTGCTGACACAGGGAAAGAGAGCGATACTTCTCCTCTCCCTCCCGCTCAATCCTCCTCCTCCTCCTTCTCCTTCTCCTCATCCTTCTCCTCCTCCTCATCCTCCTCCTTCTCCTCCCCCTCCTCCTCCTCTCCCTATCCCTCCTCCGCCTCCTCATCATCATCATCACCAACACCATCGCACTCATCACCAGCAGCAGCATATCATCATTGACCTCATCATCAGCATCACCATCATCAGCATCATCATCAGCATCGTCATCGTCATCAGCATCAGCATCATCATCATCATCACCATCATCATCGTCGTCGTCATTGTCATCGTCATCAGCATCATCATCACCACCATCAGCGTAGTCATCCTCATCCTCACCCTCATCAGCATCATCAGTGCCATCATTATCATCATCCTCCTCATCATCAGCGTCATCATCCTCATCATGATTGTCATCCGCAGCATCATCACCATCATCATTCCCAAGTGTCATAATCAGCATCACCATCATCACCATCATCATCATCAGCATCATAATCATCACCATCATCATCAGCATCATCATCATCGCCAGCATCAGCATCACCACCATCACCACCATCATCATCATCATCATCAGCATCATCATCATCAGCATCAGCATCATCATCATCATGATCGTCACCATCAGCATCATCTCCACCACCATCATCATCACCATCATCATCAGCAGCAGCATCAGCCTTCCCATCCTTTGCCCGTCTTCGTCTGCGCATTTCTCCTCTATCTCCTCCTCCTCCTCCCCCTCCTCCTCCTCCTCCTCCTCCTCCTCCTGCATCCCCCTGGTCAGGAAGGGCCGAGACGCGGCCAGGCTGGCGCGCAGGTCTGGGGCCTCCCTTTTCCCGTCCCCAGGGCCGCGCGTCCTTAAACTCCAGGTGTCCAGGCCCGCGCCAGGCCTCTCTGCTTTCTTTCTTCCCGGCGGGCCCTGGGTTCAAGCCTAGTTTTCATCCCTCGTCAGGGAAGAGGCTAGATTGCGGAGCAGCCTGCCCCTTTCTAAGGAACCAGAGGAATCAGAGGAGGAGGACGAGGAGGAGGAGGGGGAGGAGGAGGAGGAGGAGGAGGAGGAGGAGGAGGAGGAGAAGGAGGAGGAGGGGGAGGAGGAGGAGGAGGAGGAGGAGGAGGAGAGGAGGAGGAGCAGGAGGAGGAGGAGGGAAGAGGAGGAGGACGAGACAAGTTGGGTGCCACGCCTTGCGCTGGTGGGCACCAGATCTAATTTAGGTCTGGTCGTGGGACCGCGGGTCTAGAAATACGAAGAGTAGGAGAGGAGGAGGCGGGCCGGGGAGGAGAACGGACACATGTTGATACATGTGGCTTGCCCCGAAGGCTATTCAGAGCACCCGCCCACGACACAGCGCAACCACTCCGCACTAGGCAGCACGGCCTCTGTTGAGACATGGCCCCGCCATGCCGCATTAGCGCGCACCCCTCCTGGCGACGAGGTTTCAACTCTCAGCCGTCCAAGCGACAGGGAGGAGGACGACGGAGGAGGAGAGACGAAGGAGGAGGTGGAGGAAGAAGGAGGAGGATGTTTTCAAAGGCTTCCAAGTTCCTCTGACGTTTTGTGGGGCTTTTTGTTCAGGGTTTCGCTGATCCTTGTCATCGCCTTTCCGCCACGCCTGCCCTCCAATGTCTGTGCGCCCGTTCTCAGCCCTAGAGGGTCCTGTGCCACCTCGGGATTGTCCTGCACCTCGGGATGGCCATGCTTCCGTGCAGCGGATGAGAGCCGGCCAGCAGGGCCGCCCCGTCGCGTTCTCAGACCACTACGCCAGCGACTGTCCTCACTCGGAGTGGCATCGTTGGCCCTGAAGCGGCTCGAGGGCATAGTTTTATGTCGGGACTGTCCCCCTACAGGGGCATTTTCGACGAAAAATAAAAAAACACCAAAAATAGTCAAAAAATACTAAAACAAAATTGTCAGGGGACTATTTTCGGAATATTTTTTTACATGTTTGGTGCATTTTTGGGGTATGTTTTATTTTTCGTCGACAATCCCCCTGTAGGGGGACAGGCCCGACTTAAGCATAGTTGTTGGGTGTCCCTTGGGCAGGTTGTGTTGTGCGTGCGCTGTGGCTTCTGCAGCACCGGAGTCGCAGGGCACGTTCTCCTCGACTGCGATGTGCCCGATCGCATGTCAGCGCGAGCTGTCCGCAACCAGCGCCTCTTCTTGGATGCTCGGCGCCCTGCCGACGGAGGCAGAGTGGACGGCCGCCACAAACCCGCCCCTCGGCCCCCGCTTCCCCCGGCTCCCCTGAGGCGGTTTGGCTCTGTCTGGGGGGGTGGGGTTGGTGGCTCTGGCGAGGGGCCTACAGGCTCCTGCATCTCGTGGCCTCTCGCCCTATGGTCGGGAACTGTGGGACAACGTGTCGCTCCGCCGGTGCTGGCCCACCACGCCTCGGCGCGACACGCTATCCTTGAGTCGGGCGTGTCCCTTCACGGGAGTAGTATTCAAGAATAGTCAAACAATAGTCTGGGGACATTTTTCTTACTATGTTTGTCAATGTTTCGCATTGCTTTTGATTATTTGCTATTTGTCCTCCTAAATCCGCCTGTAGGAGGACATGCCCGACCTAACGCTATCGACACTTCGCGGTCCCAGGGCATCCGCGTGCCGAGCCTTTCCCAGCTTCCCCGCCCCGCGGAGTGGAGCGGCGCGCTGCCCGCTCGCAGGACACAGTGCGCCGCCAGGGCCGCCGCGGCGACACGCCGCGCAAAAGTCCCCGACCGTAGGGGCTCCTGCGTCTCGTGGCCTCGCGTGCTGGTTCTGGGGGGTGCTTTTGTTGATGCTTCGATCTGTCGGGATGGCTATCGTCGAGCATCTGTTTGAGGAACGGTGCCGTGAAGCCTCGTCGGGACGACGTGGAGCGCGCCTTGGGGATCTGTATAGCCGTCTTGAAGCCATACGCGGCGACTGCACGAGGTATGTTTACGCTGGGGTGTGGTTTGCGATCGGCGCTGTTGGGGCCGGGGGGGCACGACACTGGCCTCGTCGGGTTGCTTCCGGGGGCGGCGAAGGGCTCCGTCGAGATTCTCGCCCGCCCCTCAGTGTGCCACACCCTTTGCAAGCAGCGCCATTCGGAGTCGCCGACATGCGACAGGGGTAATTCTTAGTGGGCACTCCCCCTCCCCAAAATTCAAAGTTGACACGCATGGGGGAGACTGCGGTCGGAGTGCAATCCATCAGGGCCACCGACAACACCGATCATTTGGGGGGGCATTGATGGATGAATCTGGCAGGAGAGTTCGTTAAACCTAATCTTCTGAGGTGTGCATTGAAGCCGTTTGGCCTTTTGCGTGTTGCTTCTTTGGGAGGAGCATTTTGGATGCTCATCGCAGGCTGCTTAGGCACCTCTTGGGCCCCCTTGGATGCCCCGTGGGGTCTTCGCGGGAGCAGTTGGATCCAATATGATGTTATCTTGGGCCATCTCGGTCGCCTGAAAGGCCCGCCTGGGCTGTTTGGGTGCGACGGTGGGCATCTTGGAGGCGCTGGAAATTGCCTGGATCTCCGTCTCGCCAGTTGCCGTCAGGTGCAATCTTCATGTGCAGCAACGGCCTCCACCCCTTTGAATTGGGGCTGCGGATCTGCATCGCGATCTCTCCTCACTCTGCACATGACGCGAACGGCACGCGCGTGAGCCAGCACCATGCCGATGGAATTGCCTACGTGAACAAATTTGAGAGCTTGCCTCGCCGACTGCTGCCTCCGCCTCGCCGACCATCAGGCCCCAGGCTGTCTCCGTCCAGCCCGCCGCCCTGGGGCACCGGGAGCTCGCCTCGCTGGCTGTGGTCCCCGCTCCGTCCTCGCAGCGACCGCTGCCGCTCGACGGCTGGGAGTGTTCTGGCCGCGCGGTCGCCGCCCGGCCTCCCTAAGGGTCCCCCAAAAAAACCCAGGGCGTAGCCACACTGAGGTCCCTTCTTTACATCAGGGATAGCAGCATGTCTCCCAAAGGATCTGGGGTCCGTTCATTGCTGATCATGCCATTGCCCTCATCCGCTGCGCATCGCCGGCTGCGGTCCCCGTCCCCGCCGGCTGCCATCGCGAACACTCCCTCCTCTGCCTTGTGCCTGTATTGCCGTTTCTGCTATCATCGTGGCTTAAAAAACTGGTGCCACCGCTGCCATCAGCGTCGCTGCCATGACTCATGACTATTGAAACGATTGCCACTACCACTATTGCGACCGTTGCGGATCCTGATCATATCAGTAGCGTATACTTATCCGGATGTCATCCGTAGCGTTATTCCTACGGATATTGTTCTTGCTGTCAGTCGCGCAAGTTCTGTTGCTGGTGCTACTGTTGGCAGGGTCAAGTTCGGTTTGGTTCCAGTTGGATCTCCTTGTTCACCGCCAGGAGTTCATCCAGTGGTTGTTGCAGCAGCGCCGAGGAGGGGACTGGCTCCCCCTTCCTCATTTTCCCTTCCTCGTCGGCGTTGTCCTCCGCTCGACATCCTCATCCCTGTGGTGCGCACCAGCGGGAAACAGTCGAACCATGTGGGGAGCAGGGAACCAACTCCTCCTTCAACCCACACTGAATGGACCACTCCTCCTTCCCCTCCTCTTCTCCTCCTCCTCCTCCTCCGCCTCCCTGCGTATCTGTCTTTCCCTCCTCCTCTCCCCCCTGCTCGTTACCCTCCTCTCCATCTTTCTCCTCGTCCTCCCTTCCTTCTTTACCCTGCTTCCTCTCTCTCTCTCTCTCCTCCTGCTCTGTCTCAGGAGGGAGGGTGGCGGGACGAAGCAGGAGTGGAGCACGGAGGAGAGCGGGACGGAAGAGGAGGAGATGGATGAGGAGAAGGAGGAGGAGAAGGAGGAGGAGCAGGAGGAGGAGGAGGAGGAGGAGGCGGAAGGGACAGAGGTGAGGAAGGTTGAGGAGGTTCTGCGCAGGGGCTGCTTGGAGATCCTAGGGGAGAAGGAAAACAGACATGAGGGGTGACAAGGGATCTGGGAGGAGGGAGACATGGAGGAAGCAGGGACGGAGGAGGGAGGAGGAGATGAGAAGGAGGAGAGAGGAGGAAGAGAGAGGAGGCAGGGAGGTAGCTAAGGAGGATGAGGAAGAGTTCGAGAAGGAATCGAAGGGAGAAGCCAGATCGACGCCGTTATCCTCACTGTGGAGTGGCACCAGGGTGCGTATTCCCCAAGGGTACAGGTGCACGAGAGGAGGAGGAGGAGGAGGAGGAGGAGGAGGAGGAGGAGGAGGAGGAAAACGAGAAGGAGGAGGAACAGACAGAGAGTTCTCTTAGTCGACCGTGCCAGCTGGGAACTTGATGGTGCCCGGGTTGCTTGGACAGACCATGCAAATATTCACAAGCACGATGTTGCGTGCGGCCGGTGCGTGGGAGCGAATGCTGCAGTGCGAGGCTAGCCTCTAACATAATGTCAGACTACCGCTTCCGAGATTGCCGCAGCACACGATCTCCAATCCATCAGCCGTTCGTTCCACGTTTTGTGGCCCCCTTGGGTCTGCGATATGCGAATCGAGTGTTCCGCCCATGCTCTGAGTTGCTTGAACACGGAGTCCTAGTTCTTGTGCCTCGCGCTCGCAAGGCCTTGTTGACCTAATTTTACCCGTGTAACCGGAAGCATGAGGAGGAGGACGAGGAGGAGGAGGGACACTTCTCAGTGTCTTTATCCGGCTATGCTCAGTCTGCATTCAGGTGTTGTTTCTGATTGCCGCATTCTCAGATTTTCTGCTGCAGAGAAGGGAATGCTACAGACATAGGCCTTAGAGTCTGCTCAACGTGAACAAACATAGAGGACGGGAAGAGTGTCCTGGGCAGAGGTCGTTCTGGAGCACTTGTGATCGGCCGCGGTGCTCCATACCTTCTCTAGAACAGCCAGCTCTCAGAGAGATGCTCGGTTCATCCTCATCCGAGTTAATTATCACCTTGCCTTCGTCTTAGAAGGGGGAGCACTCACGTGCTTCGTTTAGGCAGGCGCGAGCAATCTGGATGCTGGGCGTGGACGCTGTCGTGATCGACGCCGGTCCCCGTACGATGGCGGGCAGGCAGCGTGACAATCTCGGACATAAAGGACCGGGACGACGTGACAGAAGTGCACATCCCCTCCAACTGCAAGGGCTGGGTCGACGGGGGTTGGGAGGGACGCACTTTGGGGGGGCTTGGGCGGTGCGAAATACAATCAACGATGTCGCGCGGCACCTCCAGCTTCTTGCTTACCCGAGCGCCGACACATGTGTCTGGGTTGATGTGACTACCTGCCTTGTTGTAGGGTAGATCTCCCCGAGAGGCCCCCGCATCCCTGCAAGAAAACGTGCACTGTTCGCGGCATGCGCATGCGTGTCAAGGCGGCCCATCCCTACGCTTACCTCTCGCGAGCCTCCTTCCTTCCTGCTTTCATCCCTTCCCACTCCAGCCCCCTCTCAGCGTTCCGCTTTGACCATCTGATATTCACCCCATGCCCCACGGGTGATCCTCCCCTTCCCACCTCCTCTCCCAATCCATGCAGTCAGCGTGTCAACAGGAGGAACGCCAATCAAGGCACGAAGGGGCTTCTCTGACCACGGCGAGCCTCAGCAATGTGTTGGTGCCCCGGCCTGCCCTGATGAACGACCCGAAAACCAGCCCCCCACCCCCCCGAGCCCAAGGTGGGCCTCACCACCCCGCATTGCCCGTGCAGGAGGGGCAGAGGAGGGAGGAGGGAGGGAGGAGGGAGAAAGAAGGGAGGGCGAGGAGAGGGAGGAGGGGGAGGGCGAGGAGGGGAAGGGGGCCGCCGCCTCCCGGCGCTCCCCTCCGCCGCCCCGGCCCTCCCCTCCCCCCGCCGCCTGCCGTCCGGCCCCAAATGCCCTTCAGCTGTGCGAGGCGCTCCAGAAAGGGCATGCCCTTCGAGCATCTAAGGAGCTGCCATCTCTTCTCGGCGGCGAGCGAGGTGAGGACGTGGGAAGGAGAAGGCCCTCTCAGAAGGCAATGGGGCTTCTGAGAAGCCCTCGCGCCTTCTGGGGAGCGTTCTGTGTCCTCGGGAAGGCCCAGACAGCTTCTCAGAAGGCCGGGGGACTTCCGCGCATTCGGACCCTGAAATCTGACGTTGCAAGAGAAATGCGATGTCGCAAAAACCACGACCAGACACCCAGACCCCATCTTCCTGCATCATTTTTCACGCCAGATCGATCTGTGAGGGCCCCGGGGCCCGAAATTGAGCGAGAACGCTCTGCTGGAAAAAATTGAGTCGCCAGGATCTCAGGGGAGAAGGCCTTTTCCCTCTCACTTGCCCCCCAGGCTCGGCCGCCATCTCTCTTCACTCGGTCGGCGGGAGGCGGCGCAAGGCGGCGGAGCGAGGCCGCGGCGGATGCTGGCGGATGCAGGAATCGGCCTCACCAGTCGGCGGCGAGCCCAGGGGGCAGTGAGAAGGGGCGGGCCTTTTCTCCTCCTCCTCCTCCTCCTCCTTCTCCTCCTCCTCCTCCTCCTCCTCCTCCTCCTCCTCCTCCTCTCCTCCTCCTCCTCCCTCCTCCTCCTCTCCTCCCTCCCCTCCTCCTCCTCCCCCTCCTCCGCCTCCTCCCTCTCCTCCCACTCCTCCTCCTTCTCCTCCTCCTCCTCCTCCTCCTCCTTCTCCTCAGAAGGCTCAGAAGGCCCTTGGCCTTCTGAGAAGTTTTCTGGGCCTCCCCGAACATAGAGAAAACTTCTCCGAAGGTGCGGGGGCTTCTGAGAAGCCCCGCCGCCTTCTGTGAAGGCCTTCTCTTTTTCATTTCCCCCCCCCTCGCTCGCCGCCGAAAGGCGGCGGAACGAAGCCGCCCCCTCCTGTGGGAGGCGACAGAAGGCCGGCGGAGGCTGGCGGAAGTACAGTAAACCCGCATGGTGAGGATGGACGACCTTCCCTTCCATCACAGGTCCACTGTAAAGATCGGCCTCCCCCGCGATGCCGCACGACTCTCGCGCAAGGATCGCGCAAGGGAGTGCCCGGCCCGCGCGGCCTCGGGCGCCCCCGTGCGCGCCATCAAGTGGTCCGCCCAGGACTCGAAGCTGGAAGCTCCGGCTGGGGGGTGCCGACGCCTTATCCATGAGGCCCCCGCGGGCCAGTGAGGTGCAACCGACTCGGGTCTTTGCGGGGTGCCGGGTTTTCGGAATCGGCCGCGCTCCCTTTGTGGACGACGATCGATGGAGAGAAAGCCTGTTGCCAAATCGTTTCCAGATGTCTAAAGCATGGCTTGAGCATGTCCTAAACATGTAAAGAGCATGTTCTCGACATGTTTGAACATTTGCCCGACGTTTACAGCACATGTTAAATCTGATGATCGGACTGTTAGGGTGTCCATTGCCATGGCATCCACAACGCTCCCTCCTGCGGAGCTCCGGCCCCGGCCCCGTGCGCCCCACCTGTGGCGCACCTCCCTGCACCGCTGCCAGCAGCGAGGCCTGCCTCCCGGCCCGGGGCCATCTCTTGGCCACGCGCGCGGCGGCCATGGTCGGCCCGGCCCCTCTGCTCGCCGCCCCCTCTCGGAACCTGGAGCATACGGTAGGTTTGCGTCGTGTCGACCAGCGGCGACCCCAGCGCGGGCGTTCAAGGTTGAATGCCGCCGGCGACCCAGACTCGATCGATGTTGAGCGATCGGACGTTGCGGCAGCGGCCGATCGTTCAAGGTTGAACGATCCCTGCGGTGTCAAAAACCAGCGCTGGGGTCGGCACGACACGAACCTGCCGTATACATTTCCAGTGGCGGGCTGTTTTTTTCAATCCCGCCCCCTCGTTAATTCAAGCTTCGCGCGGCCCGCTTAGCTTCGGCCGGAAGAGGTGCGCTCTCGACCCGCGAATAAAAAAAAAACGTTTTTTTTTCAATCCCCGGATTTTTATCAGATTTGGAGGCAAGGTCGGGGTGGTGTGGTGTATACTTGCTTCCAGATATTCCTGGGGGAGCACGAAGATGTGTGCACCAGGACCCCGTATACACCAGGATCCGCTCTCCTGCGCAAGTTTGAGTGCGGGCCGGGAAAAGCGTCGGTGTATAGAGTTCGGCTCATCACCTCCCCCCCCCTCCGCGATGCCCTGGCGGGGAAGCGTCGGAGGTCCAGACCTCTGGGGATATGATTTTCCGATTCAGAAGAGGAAGGGGTCCCCCTGTTTGGGCCTCTTGGGAGGTCCTCGTCGTCACCGCTGGATTCGCCTCGAAACTCTGGTCGGTTAGTGCACCCCAGGAGAGGTCCGGGGAGTAGCGGTATCGGTACCTTTTGTTCTCATATCAATCTGGCGGTCTTTTGTCGATTGCGGCCTCCGGGGCGCCTTACCGGGCCCGGGGACCATCGAATATGGATCTGGGAAGACAAGAAGCACCCACAGGGAAGGGGTCGGGAACTCCTTTGGGCCGCGGATCGAAAAAAAAGCAGATCGGAGGATGTCCGGGGTGGCACGACGTAACGAGGAGGAGGAGGAGGGGGAGTAGGCAGAGGAGGAGGAGGAGGAGGAGGAGGAGGAGGAGGAAGCGGAGGAGGAGGAGGAGGAGGAGGAGGAGGAGGAAACCCTAAACCCTAAAACATTTTAGGGTAGCGTGTCGCGGCGACGGTGCTGGCCCACCACGCTTCGGTGCGGTACGCTGTCCACGGCCCGGTCCCGAGGAGTCCACGTCCCGAGCTGTGCCACGGCCTCCCGCCCCGCGGAGCGGAGCGACACACGCTATCCACTCGCAGCACATACCGCGTACGGTAGGTTCGCGCGGCGATGGCGCGCCGGCGACGCCAGCGAAGGCGTTCAAGGTTGAGTTCTGCGACGCGGAAGCACCGAGGGACGCGGTAACGCCACTGGACCCGGCTGAATTCAACCTTGAACGATCGGAGCCGCGATCGATGCAAGGTTGAACAATCGACACGGTGTCAAAAACCTCTGCGCGCGCCGACGCCGCGCGAACCTACCGTATTGCCGGGGCCGCCGCCGCGATACGCTCGGCAAGAGTTCCCGACCGTATGCACCACGCCGCTTGGTCGGCCTGCCCAGATCACTGGATCGGCCGATCGCGGCCGATCCTGAGGCAAGTCGGTCACGACCGATACCAGAATTTGAGGCAAACTCGGTGGTGACCGACCTCGCGGGTCGCGACCAGAGGACTCGGGCATCGAATGATCAGGGCCCCCCCACCCACCCGGACCCCCGATCTCAAGGTTGTATCAGCCGCGGCCGACGACGGGAAAATCGGATCATGCGGCGCCTGCGCGAACATTGAAATCGGAGGGCGCGGGGGGACGGATCGCGCGCGAGAGCCGCGTTACCCTTTCAGGGTAGTGCAGAAAGCCGCGCGGACCCCAGAAAAATTGTGTATATGCAGTCTGGTTTCTTCCATTTGCGCGTACTGTGCGGGGTGATGCTGGAAAATGATTAAGCGGCGCTCTGGTGGCTGGCTCGCGGTGGTCGAGCGAATAACACCGTTTAGCAATCACACACATTTTCGGAGGTCTGCGCGGACCTCCGAAAAAATGTATCCTGGCCCCCTCCCCTTTCTTCCCCCAGATAACCTGAATTTGTCGGTTGCGCAGGTCTGAAGGGGGTACGTACGTTGCGCGTGGGCACAAGTGGTGTTGCCCAAAGCGGAAAGGTCCGGTTATCAGCTGGCATGTCCCTCCCGTCCCCCCACCGGATAATTTGGGGCATCGCCGAAAAATGAGAAAATTGTGTCTGCTCGGCATTGCACCCGCTGTCGGCATCACAGCGGGCTTGCTCCATCTGAAACAAACGTCGCCCGCCCAGCAGCGGCCGCTGCCGACTTTGGACAACATTTGCTGTTGAACGTTGCGCCCACTGTCCGCACCAGCACAACAAAGAGGCACCGTGGAGTCAAGAAAATGTTGTGCACTCATTCCACAGAGGCTCCGTATCGTTGGGTTCAGAGAACGTAAGTTAGGGTATGCTCCTCCAAGTCTCTGGACAAACGTGTGGCCCGAGCCCAAAGTCCAGGACCAGCAACGATAATTTGTTCCGCACCCAATTTCCAGGCGTCCTCCCCGAATCGAGTAAAAAAGCTTTGGGCCCTCCATGGCTGCCGGCAGGTCACCGGGAACCGCGGCAGCGAGCTGCGGCGCATGGAGCAGGACGCTCTGGGCGCCCCCCGCCCACCTCCGGCCCCCCCCCCCCTCTCCTTCGGGTGCCCCCAAAAGGTGCGGTGACCACGCCGCGTGGTGAGTCAGCCTTGGAGCCGGCTGGGGGTCTGAGGTTGCCCCGCACTGGTTCCGGCAACAAGTTCCGGGTTCGAGAGGTTCTTTTTAATCTTTGTCTGGCTTTGTGGACCGCTTTGGGCCCCGGGACCGTCAAAAGCAGATCCGGGATGAAAAATGCACCAGACTGGAAAACATACCTGCAAATCTATGTTCGATGTGTCTTCCGATGGGTGTCCTAGGAACGTTGAGTTTACAAGGTTTTGTCAGCAATGTCAGATACGAACAGATACGGCTCGCTTTTGTTTTTCAACTGACTTCTTTTCTATGCGGGTCGATACGATTCGATATTCCTCTTCCTATATTTTTACAAGCCCGGGGGGGTGGGGGGGAAAAACCCTCAGCCCCCGAAAAAACTTGACCCCATGGGATCTGGGGTTCTCGGGCTCCCTTCGACGTCCTTGGAAAAGGTCACCCGGCTATCCGGGTCTCCACAAACGCCTTGCCAGCAGACCCAGATCGATCCGAGGGGTCATCAGAAAGGCTCAAAGGAGGCCCCAGACAGCACAAGAGCGTTCCAAGAGGGACTCGAATTGCGTCAGGACGGCCCAAAAGACCCCCAAGGAACCCCAAAAAGCTTTACAAGGGGCCTTCAAAGCACACAAATCGTCCCATTCCCTTCGTAAAACTTTCAATGTTAGCATATTCGCCTTTCGGATTTCATCAGCTCTCAAGATAGTTTCAAAGCCCCCGAGATCGCCTCAAGACGCTCCAAAGGGCCCCCAAGAAAGCTTCAAGACGGCCGAGCCGGGCCCCACGATCGCCCACGAGAGCCCCAAGACAGCCCATAATGGAACCAAGAGGCCCCCCAAGGGCTCCCAGCACAGACCCAAAAGGGCCATGGGAGGTCCCCGGAAGTGCCCAAGATGGGTCCAAAGGGGGCTCCAGCGGGCCCAAGCTTCCCAAGACGGCCCAAGAAGGCCCCAGGACGGCCCATGAAGGCGCCAAAACGGCCCACGAGGGCCCCGAAAACACCCCCACGATGTTTCCGAATGCCAACAGAAAGACCCCCAAGGCACCCCAAAAAGCTTTCCAAGAGCCTTCAAACCACACAAATCGTCCCATTCCATTCGTGAAACTTAGAATTTCAACGTATTCGCCTTTCGGATTTCATCAGCTTTCAAGACGGTGTCAAAGCCCCCGAGATCGCCTCAAGACGCCCCAAAAGGCCCCCAAGAAAGCTTCAAGACGGCCGAGCCGGGCCCCACGATCGCCCACGAGAGCCCCAAGACAGCCCATAATGGAACCAAGAGGCCCCCCAAGGGCTCCCAGCACAGACCCAAAAGGGCCATGGGAGGTCCCCGGAAGTGCCCAAGATGGGTCCAAAGGGGGCTCCAGCGGGCCCAAGCTCCCCAAGACGGCCCAAGAAGGCCCCAGGACGGCCCATGAAGGCGCCAAAACGGCCCACGAGGGCCCCGAAAACACCCCCACGATGTTTCCGAATGCCAACAGAAAGACCCCCAAGGCACCCCAAAAAGCTTTCCAAGAGACCTTCAAACCACACAAATCGTCCCATTCCCTTCGTGAAACTTAGAATTTCAACGTATTCGCCTTTCGGATTTCATCAGCTTTCAAGACGGTGTCAAAGCCCCCGAGATCGCCTCAAGACGCCCCAAAAGGCCCCCAAGAAAGCTTCAAGACTGCCGAGCCAGGCCCCACGATCGCCCCCGAGAGCTCCAAGACAGCCCATAATGGAATCAAGAGGCCCCCAAAGGGCTCCCAGCACAGACCCAAAATGGCCATGGGAGGTCCCCGGAAGTGCCCAAGATGGGTCCAAAGGGGGCTCCAGCGGGCCCAAGCTCCCCAAGACGGCCCAAGAAGGCCCCAGGACGGCTCATGAAGGCGCCAAAACGGCCCACGAGGGCCCCGAAAACACCCCCACGATGTTTCCGAATGCCAACCTTCATTGATTTTGCGACATTTCACATTGTGAACCAGTCGTTGAGGGTCTCGTGGCATGCAGCGAAGATGCCCGAGGATGCTCCGTAAGAGTTGCATATGCATGTTCATACCCTTACACGCATACATTTATATGTACATATGTACGCTGTATACACACATGCAACAATGTAAGTATATTGTATACACCTATACACTTATACGGAACGTACATGCACGTGCGCGTGTATACATGCATGCGCGCATGTACGCACGCACGCATTCCGCTTGCGTGCAGAATTCAAAGGACCAAGGTGCATGGCGCGCAGCGCCAATGCAGTCTTGTATATGTATATATATATATATATACACATGTATCGGAGGTTGGGGGGTGAGATCTTACTGGAACGGAGAACCCCCCACCGGGAAATCGGTTTCTGTTTCGTGTTCGTGCGTGCCGTGCTTGGAGGGTGAAAGAGGGGGTCTGCAACAGGGGGTCTTCAATGGGGGCTGAATGGCCCATGTATGCTCAATGTATCGTTCATGTATGTGATCGGGTACGATTGGCATCCAATGCTGGCGGTCATTGATGGCCAGTCATTCGTGCCCGCGCGTTGCCCGCGCGGGCACACGCGCCGTCCATCCATTATCGTTCATGCGTGCGGGCGTTCTTGCATATTGCGTGTGGGTCGGCGAAGTGGAGTGCAAGTGTGTCTTGATTGTGCGGTTGATGATCGCGTATGTTCCCAAACGATGACTTCTCGACCCCCAAGACAGATTTGGAATGGGCCCCGCGATTCTCCCAAAATGTGAATTCACATTTTCCTTTTTCCCAAAATGTGAATTCACATTTTCCTTTTTCCCAAAATGTGAATTCACATTCTGGCCCCTTCATAAAGAATCCTACTCAAAATTCCAAAATGTGAATTCACATTTTCGTTTTTCCCAAAATGTGAATTCACATTTTCCTTTCTCCCAAAATGTGAATTCACATTTTGCTTTTCCCCACAATGTGAATTCACATTTTGCCCTGGCCTTCACATCCCCAAAACTGAGGCGCAGTGTTCCGCATGTCAGATTGGCTGGGCAGATTTCGACACTCATCTGACCGCTCTCGTGCGTTCCAGCCTTTTCTTTTTGCGCCCTTAGCGCACGTTGCCTTCGTCGCCTTTCCCGAGCCCCCCGCCCACTTGCTTCCTTTCCCCTCAAGTCTCGCGCGCGGGTGCAGGCGGGGGGCTTCAATTAGCTCCCCCGCCGAACACAGCAATCGAGGATGTATCGCCCATTCATGGCTTTAAAAAACATCATTGCCGGGACCCTGCGCCCGACCCCCAGATTCGCCTCGCCCGCACGCACGGTGCGTGCGGGCGAGGCGAATCTGCGTGGGCGGGCGAGAGGAAAGTCTCCTGTGGCTGAGGCGCGGCCGGACCAAATGATTCTCCCTCCAGCAAGCGGTGGCCCGCGGTGTCCCGCCGGTGTCCCGCCGGTGTCCCGCTTGTGGCTGGGCTCCGGCCAGACCAAATCATTCTCCCTTCGGCAAGCGGTGGCCCGCGGTGTCCCGCCGGTGTCCCGCCGGTGTCCCGCCGGTGTCTCGGTGTCCCGCTGGTGCGAAAACGATAGTGAGACCGATGACGAAATCGATTGTGAGATCGATTGTGAGATCGATAGTGAGATCGATTGTGAGACCGATAGTGAGATCGATCGTGAGATCGATAGTGAGATCGATAGTGAGATGAATAGTGATATCGATTGTGAGATCGAGTGATCTCGATAGGGAGATCGTTAGTGGGATCGATAGCGAAATCCAGAGTGGTATCGACAGTGTAATCGATCGAGTGAGATCGATAGTGAGATCGATCGAGTGAGATCGATAGTGGGATCGATGGTCCCATCGATCGTGAGACGGATCGCTTGTGAGATCGATCGAGAGATCGATAGTGAGATCGATGGTGAGATCGACCGTGAGTGAGACCGATAACGACATCGCTTGTGAGATCGACAGTGAGGTCGATAGTGAGATCGATTGAGTGGGATCGATAATGAGATCGATAGTGAGATCGATCGAGTGAGATCGATCGTGAGATCGAAAGGCTCCCAAGAGGCACCCAAGAGGCCCCCAAGAGCCCCCCAAGAGGCCTCCAAGACCCCCCAAGAGATCCAAAAGACGCGCCCAAACGGCCCCCCAAGCCCTTGCAAAATTAACTAGATAGATTACTATTTCGTTGGTTCCCGATGGGGGGGGAGAATGATACCAAGGCGCCCAAGAGCGAAGGATGACGTAAACAACTCGACACCAAGGCTCCCAAGAGCGAGCGGCAACGCAACAATTACCACTGTTGCCCATTGCTGGCCCCCCTCCCCCCCAAGCTCCTTATCACCCGCAGGGTGGTCGTATAGATAAATACATGGTTTAGGTGATTGGAGACGGGCGCTATCAAACTTTGCGTTTGTAGATGCGGGGTGGTTCTTGTATAGGCATAGATGCGTCCAGGTACATTAAGATTCGGCGGCCATGGGCGCGCTTAGCGTGACAGCTCACTTGCAAAATATTGATACGTTTGGATGCGGCGCCTCAGCCGCTCGATGAGCAGGGTAACGGCGAGTAGTACGAGGAGCGCGACGAAGATGGCGAGGAGGACGAGGAGGAGGGAAGCGGACGAGAAACGACACCAAGGAAGGAACCAGGTGGACGAGGACAAGTAGAGGATGAGGAGGAGTAGGAACACGGATTGATGTGAGGCCTTTTCCCCTTAATTTCCCATTCTCTTCCCTCAAGAATCATCGTCATCATCCTGATGCTTTGTTTCTCTTTCCACTATGTCCCGCTCCTCTCGTTCCACTCTTTCCCACTCTTCCCCCGTTCCACTTTGCCCCACTCTTTCCCTTTTCCACTCCTTTCCATTATTTCCTACAATGTGTTTTTGAGATGTTGACGCTTGTGGTGGTTTGCAGACCACGGCGCCCCTCTACGACTAGATACGCCGCAGCAGCGTCCATAT